AGTGTCAGCACTTTGAAATAAATTTTGATGGAAAAAATCATGGCAAAATAGTGATTTTTGGCAATTTTGAGATGTGCCCTCGTTGCCATGGTAATAGGAAATTTAAGACTGAGCTGGTCGTTACAAAGGCAATGGTCCAGTCAACATTAGTGCCAAGTTTGATAAGTATTGAAGCATTTTTCATAGTTTTATAGCAGTTTGAACTTGTAACAGGAGGCTTTTCAATGAAAACGGCCATTTTTCACAATATGCTAATGAGGGAAAGGGTTAAATATTTAAAATTTGTCTTACGACGTCTTATTTGTGATATGCAGGCTTCATCCATCAGGTGATTTGCTCTGCTTTGAATTTGGAAAAGTCCAATTAAAGTTTAAGAAAATAGAGTACAACAATTGAGCTACCAACAGGACTGGTAAGACTGCAATTCAGCAGGTTAAATTGAGGGATTAAACTTTGGATTGTTTTGTGCTGAAGCTATAGCAACATATAAAAATAAACTATACTTCAATTTTCAGAATTTATTTTTCTGTAATTCTGGATAATCTGTAACAAGTTAACACAAATTTCATTGATAATAATTATTGTATTGAGCAAACCTAACACTATGATTAACAAGGTAAGAAATTACCGGGTATTCATAATTAAACATACCTTATATCATTTGCACATTAATTCAGCACATCTGTATTCCAATGTATGAAATATTAATAAATCACAACAAAATAATGGGCATATTGTTGTCATATGAATTGAGCAATTGTTGTTATTTTTAAGTAAGAAAATATCAAATAGAAAAAATGAATTTCCTGTATTAATTTTATGTGAATGAATTACATAATTATATTATCAGTCTAACATAAGTATCAATGTCTGTTACATAGGCAATGCTTGTTCGCTCGAACTTGTAGGGCCTGTACAAATATGTTTAAGATACTGAATATAATCATGAATAATATGATCGTATTTAACAAAGCTCATGTCTTGAACTTTTACCAAGTTAAATCAGTTGAATTTAAGATACATCTACACAATCCATTGTGAGTGCGCTCTTTTGCAGAATAAGTCATTCCATCAAAATATTAAAATAATTGCTGAAAAATTACATACCTACCTGTCCTTTCAAATGAGTATTAATGGAACACTGTGTTAATCTATATTCACGCCATAGGAACTCGAGAACGGGACCGCAGATTGCGGCGCATATTTTCGATCGTGTAACGGTTTTAAAAAACGTTTCTGCTACATCTTAATATCTTTTAGTATTATCCGAGTATATGGCCTCAAAAAATATGTTATCAATTGAACCCAATCTGTCTCTTTTAAAACTGGTAAATTTTACGGTATTATAAAAAAAGACAACTTTTCTTTTTTCTATATACCGTAAATTTGACTGATTTTTAAATTAGCAGATTATATTAAATCGAGGTAAGATAATTAAAGACCACCCGCTCGCATAATATGAAAAGATATTCAAAGGTCGGACAAACAATATGTAAAGCCGGTACGGATTCGGATTTATGCGCCGCAATATGCGGTCCTGTTCCAGAGTTCCTATGATTCACGCATATTATTAATGGTTTCGCTACTTTGAGTAATCATTCTCCAAACAAGTTGAACAAATTTTTGTTCAAAAATATATTTTTGATACGTGCGTATTATTGTATAATAATTTTTTTTTTTTAACAATAGTTTCATACAAACTTTAATAATTTTATTACTGCATGATTGTATTTGCAATTAAGTATTTAGACTTTTTTTAATGAGGCAAAACAATTCATATAATGCAATACATGTAACATCAAAAAAAGACATCAAATATTAACATTAGTTGATACTATGTATACATTGAAATGAATGAAATCCAATTTATCACCATCACAAGGTATTAAAATTTAAAAACAACACTGACTGTCACTACATTTTGTAAATGAAAGGGAGTCCACCTGCAACTTTTATTGTCTTTGAGTCTTAAACCAAAAAAGGAGTGATTTTCACTACACATCTGCCAACAGGACTAGAGATCAGGTTTGAGACTTCAATCGATTGGTGTTCGAGCGATCCATGGTATATTATATAACAATATATACAATACAGGCATTTTACAGGGAGTGGACCGTTAGTTCAATGGAAGAGTCGAGGTATTCAAGCGATCCAAGTTCGAGCTAACAAAGTTTTAACATACTGACATATAAAACATAAATACTGATATATACCAATATTATCAGTGTTTTCATTAATTACATTAATCTGCTTTGATTTGAAAAGATTTCTAAGTAAACCAAATAAGATTTATTTGTGAAACACATCAATGTTCAATAATATCACAAACCTGATGACAATAAAGTTCAGCAAAATGTTCAAGATTTGAAATCATGGACCTTATACATATAGGTCAAGGTCATACTTCAAAATTTATCTACTCTCAAGAAGTATGTAACATCAAAGTATGAATTAGTCTCTTTTTCATAAAATAAAGTTGCTATGACTATTTATAAATTTGTTCATAGAGTGACATAGAAACACATTGTTTATGAAGAAAAGCAAATGTTTTCAAAAGCAACAGTTTTAGCTTTTTATAATTTACACCAAAATGACATTTAATTAATCCATCATAATGTTATTGCAGCATGATATTGCAACTGACCTCATAATCAAAGTGCTTAAAAATAAATAAATAATAAAAGAAAACAAAAACAAAACAAATTATCCTCTACTATATAATTCAAAGCTCATAGCAATATTTTAGATTTTTAATGTTACATTTTTTAAATCTTTTTTTATTCTTTGTAACCTACAATCAGCTGAGCAGAACAATTATATAGTTTCTACAGAGGATCATTTCTATGCAGTTTGGTCAAGATCTGCCAACTAGTGAGGTAAAATTTTGTTCAAAGAAATCTTGGATAATGACAGATGTCAAGCAACAAAAGCTTATTTCTGAGCACAAAGAATTCAAGTGAATAAATTACATAAATGGGTTTTATACCTTGTACTGTACACAAAATATTTTGATTAAAAAAAAATTAAAAACAAGTATGGCTATACATATATATATTTACATGTTTAGTATTTAATATATCAAAGATATGTTAAAAAAGTTTATTAGAACATTTCACAGCTTAAAATTATAATATTGCACGTTTTAAATGTAATACATGTAAGTACATAAAACAAATAAATATCTACATATACTTATTTTAACCTACAGTAAACCCCTTTACACTTTAAAGCATTTTATTCCTCAAGATAATTTTTAATTTTGTGTTATAATATCTTGTTGCCAATAGAGTATTGCTAGGTTATTATAAGCATATATTTTGAGACATTGTTAAGTACATTGCAAAATCCTGTGAATTATAAAGGCTTTGAACTAACTTAACTTTATTTGTACACCATGCAATATTTCTACATTAAATTTAAAACACTTTAATTTCATACAAATAAGAATAAATCAAGTTTAATTTAGTACTGTAGGAATATTTACATTAACCTGTGAATATAGCACATTTAAAATAATAACACATTAAACAAATACTACACAACTAACAGTATTTTTATTAGTTATTTAGTTTTCTTTTAGCACCAATTTATAATTTTATTTGTAAGTAATATACAGTTTTGTAGCAATCTGACAAGGGCTAAATAACTGTAACAGTAAATAACTGTTAGTCAACAAGCACCTGGCAACTTCTCCCCATAAATCACAAGTGGAGCTTAACAGTTGGGTTTCCCAGACATGATATTGTAAGTATGAAAATGGATTGGCATGTCATGAAAAATTTAGTTATCTACAAATAATACAAACATGACTGGTGGTTCATCAGTGCAAATTTCTATAAATAAAATTTAATTGTAGCACAGGAAGTAACTTATATATGGCCAGAACTTACAGTTGTGTTGGGCTTGTATTAATGACCTTGCTAGTGAGTGGCAGCATGGCCATGTTGTTCATGTGTCTTGATTAGTTATCTAAGGAGTTGCTAGTTGTCTGGCTTAAAGCCATTGTTTCCATGAGAAAGAAACTTTTCACTCATAGCTAAATAGTACTGGTTGTTTCCAGGAATTAATACAAGTCTTTAAATAAGCTTAACGCTTCCATCATAATAGAACTACAATAAATTTGTATAAACTATATAATAGCCTTGCTCTTAATTCTGAAAAAGTGATTTATAAAATATCTAATTACTAATACATGTATTAAGTATTAAGTTGATTCAAGTAATTAATGTACCAATTGACCTTGTTTTATACAAGTGGCATAGGTTATATTTTACTGTCTATTGTTTTACAAATGGCATATCCAAATTATATTGATAATTTGGTCATAAATCTGACAGTAATCTGATAAAACAAATCTGTCTATTACAGCAAACCACAATGACATTGCTTCAAAACAATATAAACAAGCAATTATCATAGTATTGCAAGCAATCCATAAGTCCCCTACCGGTTAGAACCCCAGCAACATTCTGATGGGCCATTGGCCATTCAATTTTACCAACGAATGAAGGACATGAATGAACTTAAATCTTTTCAGTTATAAGTTTGTCTATATCACAGTAATGTGTTAAGTTTCCCTGCCTAGTAAGGAAATTATGTTTATACAACCTTGTCATATTATTACAATGTGGGATTTTAAAGTAAATCCTATAAGGAATGAAGAAGTTGGAGTGAAAAATACCAAAAAAATCTAAGTATGTTCAAGGGAGACATAATTCTGGAAATAGTCTTGCTAGAGTATTGTACCATCTTACAAATGTTGAGTGATAATAAAAAACATATATATGAAGTTTGAAGTAGATGCATTCAGAGCTAAAGAAGTTATTAAAAAAAAATTCATGAAAATTCTAAGTTTAAGGGAGGTAATTCAGATATTTTTGTGCTAGAGTTGTAAACCTTGTCACACATAATGTGGTTGATGACAAGAAATATATATTTAGAGTTTGAAGTAAATATCTTCAGAATTAAAGAACTTATAGTGAAAAAGCTGAAAAATTTAAAACGGAAATCTTGAAATTCAGGCTATTTGTTGCCATAGCAACCAGAATTTTCAACATAGGAAGAAAAGAAAAGGATGTGCATAATCTCCAGACTGCCATCTACCCATATTTCAAGTTTCATAAAAATATTTTCAGTACTTTTTGAGTTATCACTGGATCCAGTTTATGTGTTAGATTTGCCATATTTTCAGACTATTTGTTGCCATGGCAACCAGAATTTTCAACATAGGAAGAAAAAAAAAAGACGTGCATAATCTCCATACTGCCATCTATCCATATATCAAGTTTCATAAAAATATTTTCAGTACTTTTTGCGTTATCGCGGGATCCAGTTTTGTGGACTGACGGACTGACAGACAGACTGACAGACGGACGGACAGACAGATGGACGGAGGGTAAACCTAAAGTCCCCTCCGGTTAAACCGGTAGGGGACTAAAAATGCTCAGGTTAAAATTCACATGTTTACTAGTTCAATGATAAAAATATACCATGAAAGAACTGCATTTCTTTATTTGGATCAAACATGTCAAGTAATTAGGAGTTCATATACACTATTGATTATTCTAAGAATGTTATTTATAAAAGAGCTGTTGGTAGGGCAGCATGCTCAACTATTCTAATAATGCTTGATAGCCTGAAAAAAAAAAGATTTTTCTAAGTTCAAAAAGGCCATAATTCATTCACAATCCAAGATAGAGTTATAGGTCTTAGATAGTGACCTCCTTGACTAAGTTTGTGAAGTTTCTACCCATTCCCCTCAGTACGTTTGGAGATTCCAACTTGCATGCAAAATCTTAACCAAAGTGTAACACTGACACCTAGGTGAGTACAATAGCTCTCCCTATTCCTTAAATAGTCAAGCTAGATATGTAATATTTCAATATTAATGATTTATTTTATGTAAATACAAAACTTAACAAATAATTTAACATGAATTATATATCTCCACACACACACATGCACACATATGTATAATATTATCACAGTCTAAAAAATGTCTAGTTTATAAAAATAATATAATAATATATAATAAATAGCATAATAATATACAAACCACCCTGAACCACCATTGAAAAAAAAAAACGTGGTCTAACATTTACGCTTCAGCTGATTCTAGTAACCATGAGAAACCTTTCATTGTCTCTCGCAACCAAATTCAACGAAAACTTAAATTTTCAATTCAGTTGACAATGCTGCTGTTAGGATATTGATATTGTGTAAGTACATTCTGGTTGGTCAAAGATGTCCAAAAAAATCTACTTTCTTTGATTTTCAGCATGTGGCCTTTATGTGAAGGTGGCTTAAATCTCAGTGTGATTTGATAAACATTGTGATATGTATTTTACTCATCTAAGATATCATTTTGTATGAACCCAAACAGAATAACATTAAAACACTAAACACAATTACCGTAAAATCCTGATTTAACGCCCCCCACCCACTTTTGAAAACATGTGTATTATTTAAACAAAGAAAATAAAAGAAAATGAAGCTTGTCAGCAAGATCAAAGGTGTCAACATTACTGCAAGCAGGATTTGGGGGAATTTTCAGGAGGAAAATTAGATAGAGCTCACGGTGTAGATCAAAGGTATCATGGGTTGACAGGATGATGATTTTTTTGTGGATTTTTTTACATTGTTTGAAGAGAGACTCTCTTTTTTATCTTTATTAAACGCCTCCCTTTTGAAAAATGTTATGCCCCCGGGGGCGTTAAATCAGGATTGTAAGGTATGTGAAATATACATAAAACAGTTTACTAAAAAGTCATGTTGTAATTAAACATCAAAATTATTTAGAAAAGAAACTTACTTATATCTCGGTCTAAAAGAATGCAGAAAAATTTATTTTCCAGTAATTAAACAATTCAATGCCAAAACATGATAATCAGATCATAAAATTAAGAAATTATGTTAACTTTCATCAAGATACATATATTTATGCTAAATATCATCTATCATAAAATAAGTAGTTTAACAGCTACACTCATAATATAAAGGTATAAACAATTTCTAGGCAGTAGCTTTCATGGTCAATTTTCTAAAAAAAAAAAAATTTGTTAAACACAGTTTTACCCATTTGCAGTCTTACAATCATTTAATTATAACACTGTGCAAACATTTTTTCTAGAAAAGCAAACAAAATTCCTCAAAATGTCCATAAAAAAATGAAATAGAGTAAAAACAATTTTAGTTTCTTATGTAATTGAGCTAAAAAGGAATTCACATGTATATTTTTTTTTCCAAATCTTTCATAAATTTTAAAATCCGTGACTCATACAACTGATTTCATTGTAAAAAACCTCTCTAACTACTAACACATCGTGGTATTTCTTCCTGTGAAGTCCCAAATCGGATTTTCTCAATCATATCAACAGGTGAAGACTTAAGAAATGTTCTCGCCTTTGGATCATTTTTCCGTCTGCTGTAAATTATTCTCAATATATAGTCTGCAGTGACCTTCTTCTGAAAACACTCCTCTACCAAATGGAATAACTCATAATTTGACCATGTAGGATCTTGCTCATCTCCAATATATGGACACACATAGTAAAAGTTATCACTTGATTCAAAAAAGATAGCATTTCTTGAATCAACTGACATTGCTGATGTTAAGGATAAAGGTGTTTCACGCATATAATATGGGTCAAAGTCATGCGAAACTTGTGAGTGTGGGATTGAATGTTGAAATCCTTGATTTAAGTCACTGTCAATTGAGCCAGGTCCAAATGAATCTAGAAGATCATTTTCCTCTGTACCATAAGCGTTTCCTCTACTTTCACTCTCTTCGCTACTTTCACTTGTTTTTTGTTTACTTATAATCCCAGAATTGCCTGCATGCTTCCCAGACGACACTGCTTCATTGTTAGACCTTTCAATTTTAGAATTTCTATCTGAGTCATTTGTTCTCTGTGACCTTTCTGAACTAATAATCTGTGACTTTTCAATACCTCTGATACCAGGAGTGGTTGATTTGAAACCTGACTGCCGTGAAAAAGCCCTCAGTGTAGCCCTGAGGGTAGGTTTAGGTGTTGCCCTAGGAGTGCTGTCATTACTAACCCTAGAGAAAGGGCGTTCACTTAATCCTGACAGTCCACAGTCAACATGATCCACAGTCATGAAAGGATACCCAACCTCTGTTAAACTTCCACTTGGACTTGACCCTGAAAGCAATGTCCAGTAAAATAATACAATTTTTTACCACTTCTGCTTACATAAAAGAAATAAGAATGAGTTACAATGGAGAATCATAGTTGGACTGCATAACATCTGAATCAACAAACCTTACATAAGTTAAAATGTTTCATGATGAAAACTTTCTCTTATGATACCTTCTTTAAGTCATATTTATTTCTTTTAATGCAGCACACCTCCAGATTAAAGCTACTTTTCATTAAACTTCAGAAAGTTTCTAAAAATGCTAAAACTTTTGTAAAGGTAATAAAACATTTTGTTGAGCTAGACTAAAGCAGTTACAATCATCCAAAATTATATACAATGCATTATAATGAACAAAAATTTATTTAGTACAGTAAGTAACTGAGGTAGAAATATGGTGAAATTAATAGTAAATAAATTTTGTTTTACAATTACCTAAATAATTAACATGGATTGATAATACTTAACCCTTACCACCCTAAATATCTTAAATTGACTTGTCTTTTTTTCAATTTAGTCGAAACAATTCATAATTTTTTGGGGAAAATTATATGTAGAGACTGTTCACATAATTTTATTTGGTTATAATTTTTTAAAAACTATCTTAACGAGCAATTATCAAAGTATTGCAAGGAAGTCCCCTACCGGTTAGAACACCATCAACATTCTGAAGGGCCTGAGGGCCATTCAATTATGTTATTGAATGAATGAATGATATAAATGAACTTAAATCTTTTGAGTTTTTAGTTTATCTGTATCATAGTAATGTGTTAAGTTTCCCTGCCTAGTAAGGATAAAATATAATAAACTAGAAATGTGTCGTCACACCATCCCTCATGCAGCTAAAATTTCAGATGTTATAATATTTACTTCCAAATTGTTTGCACAAACTGTTTTTTCATTTTAAGTTCAAAGCCCTTAAAACTATTCAATGTTAACGCAAACCATTTTCAAACAAAGTTCAAGGAACTGAAACTATTCAGTGTTAACCTTTGGTAAATTGCATATTGCATAATTGTAGCCAAAACAATGACTACATACATATTCAAGATAGATAACTTTGTCCAAAACCATTGAACCATGACCAAATTCAAACTTGAACTGCTTATTCCTAAAATGTATCTATATGTCAAATTTGAGTTGAATGTGAACAATCATTGGGAAGATAATGAACGAAAATAAAAAAATTCAGATTTTTTCAAAGTTCAAGAGGGATAACTCTGTCAGCTATCATCAAACCATGACCAAATTCGAACTTGACCAGTGTATTCTTATTACATGTCCATATTTTAAATTTGAGTTGAATATGTACAACTGTTGGGGAGATAATGAATGGAAACTGAAAATTTCCCTTTTTTTCAAAATAAAAGGGGCTACCAAAAATCATCAAACCATGACCAAATTCAAACTTAACCTGCACATTCCTTTGACATATTTATATGTCAAATTTTAGTTAAATTTGTAATACAGTTGGGGAGATAATGAACGGAAACTGGAAATTTCACTTTATTTTCAAAGTGAAAGGGGCATAACTCTGCCAAAAATCATCAAACCATGAACAAATTTGTACTTGAACTGCACGTTTCTTTGACATACCCATGTGTCAAATTTGAGTTCAATGTGTGCAACTGTTAGGGAGATAATGACAGAAACTGAAAATTTTATATTATTTTGAAAGTGAAAGGGGCCATAACTCTGCCAAAAATCATCGAACCATGACCAAATTCGAACTCGACCTGCACATTTCTTTGACGTATCCATATTTTAAATTTGAGTTCAATGTATACAACTGTTGGGGAGATAATGAACAGAAACTGAAAATTTCATATTATTTTCAAAGTGAAAGGGGCATAACTCTGCCAACTAGAACTGCCACTGTCATGGCGTGAAATACCCCGCATACCACTTTGTCAGAATCAACAGTAGTCATTTACAATTCAAGGACAACCTCCCAGCCAATCTGAGGGAAGTAAGCCAGTGCATTGCTAAGTTATGTATTCTACATGTTTTTAGTGGCAAAGATCAAAGTGACCTTTACCTTTGACCTACCGACCTCAAAACTGAAACTGCCACTAAATGACTTCAATACCCCTCCCCCCATTCATGCAGCTTTGCCTGGAGGTGTTTTAAGATGAATATATGAAAACATAATTATATGCTTCAAATGTGAAATTGTAAAACTCAATACACTGTGGACAGGCATTTTTAACCCATTACTTCATATACACGCCTTTTAACGCCTTTTTCACCCCCCCCCTTTTTGTTGTCTCAAATGATGAAAAAATGCCTTATTTAGGCCCCAAACACTTGTTTTTGTTTGAGAAATGTTGTTAAAAAAAGTGACCCTTTTTTCGGCGCGGCCCCCCAACCAAAAGATACATCAGGGGGTTGCCAGAAGGGGGATGTGCCCCCTTCTGTTTGGGGGGGGTTTGAAGGGGGGCGGAGTCCCCCTCATCGCCAAGAAAATTTTGGACTTGTGAGAGGCTGTAAATGACCCCAGATTGATCATAAGGTAACGTGTAACCAACGCTGAAAAGCATTTGACTCTATCTCAATCCATTGAGAAGTTGCAGCACTTTGAAATCAATTTTGATGGAAAAAATCAACGCAAAATAGTGATTTTTGGCAATTTTGAGATGTCCCCTCGTTGCCATGGTAACAGAAAATTTAAGCCTGAGCATGTTGTTGCAAGGACAATGGTCCAGTCAACATTTGTGCCAAGTTTGATTAGTGTTGAAGCAGTTTTTATAGTATTATAGCAATTTGAACTTGTAACGGGAGACTTTTCAATGAAAACAGCCATTTTTCACAAAATGCTCATGAAGCAATGGGTTAAGCATTTGAGCAGACTTTTATTGTAATAAAAGCCCCTGTGACCTTGACCTTTGACCTGGTGACCTCAAAATCAATAGGGGTCATCTACTCATCATGACTAATCTCCATGCCAAATATGAAGACTGTGGGTCAAAGGAATCTTAAGTTATTGGGCAGACAAGAAAAAACTAAGGGACAGCCGGACGGACAAGCTGGTTCTAGTATTCCCCCCTTACAACTTTGTTGTGCAGGGGTATAAAAATCATCGAATCGGAAACTGATGAAAACGGAATGACAGAATGAAGGAATGATGGAACAGGGTAACACAATATGCCCCAGCCATTTTATGGCAGGGGCATAAAATACAATTATCTCAGGTTGAATATGTATCACTAATGTTTCAACTTTTCTTTATTTTAAGTAAATTTGTCGGAAATTTTCAAAGTTCTTTAAAAGTGATCTCAAGATATAGGTGTTAAAGAAAAGTGAAAAATATTACAATTTTCAAATATATACCATTTACTGTAACAAATAAGAAAATACATGTTATATAACAATTTTCAAATAAATTTCAAGTTCAAAAGGAAAATAATAATAGAAACCAAAGACTAGACTAGACTTATAAATCTAATAACATATGATGTGAATAATGAACATATATTTGAAATAAGAAGTAAATCAAGTAGAAGAAATGTGGACAAAAACATTTTTTCATGAAAATTCCAACTTCAAGAGGTTTAAATCTAATAATTTTGGTGCTAGAGATGCAAACCCTGATATTTATGTATAATCTTTATACTGTCATCTATCCATATTTCAAGTTTCATAGAAATATTTACAGTACTTTTTGCGTTATCATGGGATCCAGGTTTTGTGTTGTATTTGTCATATTTAAAGTCTATCTTATTTGTTGCCATAGAAAAATTTTCAACATAGGAAGAAAAGAAAAAGACATGCATAATTTCCAGACTACCATCTACATGTACCCATATTTCAAGTTTCATTAAAATATTTTCAGTACTTTTTGCGTCATCATGGGATCCAGTTTTGTGGATGGACGGAAGGTAAACCTAAAGTCCCCTCCTGTTAAAGTGGTAATTTCAGACTTACTTCCCCTGACTGTTTCTCCTTCTACATCTGCAATCAGGTTCCAGTCTAAAAATCTCTGTGCTATAACAATTGCAGTTTGTCTTGTAAATGTGGTTCCCTTCTCTGATAGTGCTACATCTACATGTGTGAACAAAACTTCAGTTATATCATGTCAGTTTTTGTTGGTTTTTTAAATATAATTGATATTTTGCCAGTCATTTCTATTTTCAATTTCTAGATTAATAATTCATATAAATTTAAGATACATCAAGTATGAGATTAAAGAAACATAATACAGCAACAGTATGTTGATTTATGACTTCTTTTATTTGAACCATTTGTTTCAGTAACATAAATTTGCAAAATAAAAGAAAAATAAAAACAGAAGGCTAGAAATTAGTTTCTTTTAGGTTAAGTAAAAAATACATGGGGCCTAATAATCAATGATCTCAAGCGGTTGATTGTCGCCAGTCTCCAAATACCATCAAAGACTATCGCTTCGAGACCATCAATAGTTGACAGTCTTGACTAAACATGACTGACATTGAACTGAAAAGACTAAATAACAAAGTTTTCAGGACAATAGTTTATTAGAGTCAATATCTTGAATGAAAAGGACATTAATGTAAAAAAGGGAAAAAATGGATTAATAATGAATTATTTTTTTTTAGATGAAATAGTTGTATTTTTTAGTTATTCAAATTTTATGCATACAGTGAAACTTCTGAATTCCACCTGAAACTTCTGAAATCCAAACATGATTTATCAGGGTCCCGAATTTCTCTTTCTGTTTTCTATGTAATCAAAACCACTGAATTACAGAACTTCTAAATTCTGAATTCTGAACAATTTTCTGGTAAAATTTGGGTTATATCAATTAAAATTTATTTCCAAAATCTGGAAATTGAAGGTGTGAAGGAATATTATACTTGTAATTGAAAAAACCTTCAAAATGTCAGTATGAACTCGACACCTATTAGAATTACAACCTGTCAAACATATCAAACATTTGTTTAAAGTGTGAAAATTAAAAAATTGAGAAAAATACAGGTAAATAGCAGGTATTACATGCTTATGAAATATACTTATTTAAAAGGATAAATTGTGATAATAATTAACATTATGTTATTGTATCAGCAAATTCAGTTATAGGTGATAATGAAATTTAAAATAGTAAAAGTCCTATAATCAGCTTAATATATTTTTCACCACGTCTTACTATAAAACAGTTGATTTATAATAATTTTACTTGTTCAGATAACTCCGAACTTCTGAATTCCGGAAACCTCCATATTCTGAACTTTTTGGCTAGTCCCACAGGTGTTCGGTTTTCAGAAGTTACACTGTATTCCATTGTAAATAAAGATACATAAATATACTGTAAAAATTATATATGATAGTAGAATGCATGCATTTGCTAAATAATGAACAATAATAAATCTCCTGAAAGACTGAAATAAAGAAATCAAATACATTATTTGAAAAATTGAAAAATTTAAACAATAGTACATGCTCAATAATCTTCCAAATTATACATAGTTTAAATTTTTTTTAATTTAAAATATTAAAAATTCATATTTTAAAATCTATTTGTTATTGTCCTCATCATCCAAAAATAATGACATAAATATACTATTGTCCTAGAATTTGCTTATTATATATCATATCAATTAAGTTCATGTACAATCACATGACTGTCAATTTGTAAAGCAACCTTTGGAGACTGACAGAGACCATTGGTTTTGTGAAGACCATCAATTAGAAGGTCCCACAAACTATTACATTAATTTTGTACAATCATATAGCTTGCTCCAAACTTGATAGCTAAAGAAAAAACAGGTGCCTTTGTGACCATTAGTTCAAGCATTATCAGAAACAGGAGTAGACCATCTACCTTCAGGACGAAAGCTGAATGCCTTTCTCACAATAAAAAATACAAAAACACAAACATAATATTAGAAGGAAATAAGTTAAAGTATATGATCTCACTAAAACAATAAGTTAAAGTATATGATCTCACTAAAACAATAAGTTAAAGTAAATGATCTCATTAAAACAATAAGTTATAGTAAATGATCTCACTAAAACAATAAGTTATAGTAAATGATCTCACTAAAACAATAAGTTAAAGTAAATGATCTCACTAAAACAATAAGTTAAAGTAAATGATCTCACTAAAACAATAAGTTAAAGTAAATGATCTCACTAAAACAATAAGTTAAAGTAAATGATCTCACTAAAACAATAAGTTAAAGTAAATGATCTCACTAAAACAATAAGTTATAGTAAATGATCTCACTAAAACAATAAGTTAAAGTAAATGATCTCACTAAAACAATAAGTTAAAGTAAATGATCTCACTAAAACAATAAGTTAAAGTAAATGATCTCACTAAAACAATAAGTTAAAGTAAATGATCTCACTAAAACAATAAGTTAAAGTAAATGATCTCACTAAAACAATAAGTTAAAGTAAATGATCTCACTAAAACAATAAGTTAAAGTAAATGATCTCACTAAAACAATAAGTTAAAGTAAATGATCTCACTAAAACAATAAGTTAAAGTAAATGATCTCACTAAAACAATAAGCTCATCAACTATAGACTGAGATACATATTGTGTCAGACTAATTATCACAATGGTAGGATAATAGCAGTAGAACCAATTTACCATGGTAACATCATTCTAGGGTGCCTAACTCGCAAGGGGTAATACCAAGTTCAGTAACAAAAACAAGTAACAATAATATAAAGTACAGAAATAAAAACTGTCTTGAATAAATGTAAAAAAAATATGTACAGTAACATAAAAGTGTATTTACCAAAGCTATGGAAAAGATGTTGATTATCGAGAATCCAGGCTATAAGTTCTGTACCACTAAATCCTTTCCTCAATGTCTGAAGGTCATGTTTTAGTCTTGTTCTTATCAACAGAATAGACTGATACTGTGTGTCTGTACTGCTTACTTCAGAACTATTACCCTAGTAAACAATACATTAATAATAAGGTTAATCATTACTCAACATGTACCCCTCATATACACAGTTAAAAACTAATTCAAAATATTTATGCATTACTTCAATTTATACATTTATACTTACAATATCTCTAGTGAGACCTCTATATATAGCAATCAACTGTGTCAGTGGCAGGGAATATAAACTCAATCTAAATGATACATCATCCTGTAATATAATCAAACATCTCATTATCTTAAATGATGTGGGTTATTTTACAACAATTATTTCATGAGTGTTCTACGAAGCTGTAATTTACACTTTCATTATTATAATAAAAGGTAAGTTTGGGAGTGATGTTATATTAAGAATTTTGGAAGGTTATATGAGTTAAATATCAAAAGTTCAAGAAATTCGTTACTATTTATAATCTAGTATTTATGTTCTGTGATGCATGGTTTATGAGGGAAATCTTGATAGTTTTACCATATTTTGGCTCCATTTCTCTGAATATCACTAGGTAGTCTAAATCATTGTAAACTTAACAAATATTATTAAATAGAAATAAATTTATTCCATAAAATTTAGAATGAATCTTAAGCTTTATTATATATTTCTAAACTGAATATAATTTTATGATATAATGTATAATATAAACACTGGAATATCAAATATGTTTAAGAAGTGGTAGTGTACAGACAATTAATAAGCATAATCAAGACAGACTTACAGCTTGGGACAACAGTAACTCTCTTCTCAATGTTTCATGCTGATTGTTCATAAACTTCAGTAAATGCTGAAAAATATTTGTTCATAAACTTCAAGAAATGCTGAAAATATTTGTTCATAAACTTCAGTAAATGCTGAAAAATATTTGTTCATAAACTTCAGTAAATGCTGAAAAATATTTGTTCATAAACTTCAAGAAATGCTGAAAATATTTGTTCATAAACTTCAGTAAATGCTGAAAAATATTTGTTCATAAACTTCAAGAAATGCTGAAAATATTTGTTCATAAACTTCAGTAAATGCTGAAAAATATTTGTTTATAAACTTCAAAAAATGCTGAAAAAATTTTGTTCTAAACTTCAAAAAATGCTGAAAATATTTGTTCATAAACTTCAGTAAATGCTGAAAAATATTTGTTATAAACTTCAAAAAATGCTGAAAATATTTGTTCATAAACTTCAGTAAATGCTGAAAAATATTTGTGCATAATCTTCAAGAAATGCTGAAAATATTTGTTCATAAACTTCAGTAAATGCTGAAAATATTTGTTTATAAACTTCTGTAAATGCTGAAAAATATTTGTTTATAAACTTCTGTAAATGCTGAAAAATATTTGTTTATAAACTTCAGTAAATGCTAAAAAATATTTGTTCATAAACTACATGTAGGAAAAAAGTAGAGATATTCAGCTTAGGGACAGTCAGGATATTGTCTTACACTTGTCCTGACAAAAATGATACCATGTTGTTTTGCAGGGTCTTAAAAGGAACAAGTAATGCTGTTATCAATATGATGTTAACTTTTGAAAAACAAAACAATTTAAATTTTCCTGTTTCATATATATAGAAAGGCATCCAAAGAGGATTAAGGACTGTTTTAGGAAAGATTAGGGAAAAGTAGTACCAAGGGAAATTCAGATACTAAAATTTTAAGTAAAACGTAGGTATAATTTTAATTTTATAAAACCCATCACTTGAGCATGCTCAATGATAAGTTTCCTCACATATTAGAATTCAACATCCCCCACTTATTTCAATCTAATAAACATATATCACACATGTATTATGTCATACTTACAGCTAAAGCTTGCAGTAATAGTTGAGCTTTGTTCTGTGTTCTGTCATCTGACTTCTCCACTTTACTCAGCTCTATCTCAAAATCCTGTATTCATTCAAATACTATGTCATAATGTAATGATATCAAGATCCTAACTCTAAGAGAGAATATTACAATTATTTTCTTATATAAAACAATTAGGTTAAGAAGGTAAGAGTACAAGATCATTAGTGTAAATATATTAATATATGATGCTTTATTATTAAACAACTAACATCAGATCACATTTGAGTTTCTTGCCTCCTTGAACTGATCAGTAACGCTGTCATATGAGAAAGTATGGTTGTGACTGAAAACCACAATCCCAAGGTCAAGATCTCCCTATTACACAATCCCCAGGTCAAGGGCTCCCTATTACACAATCCCTATGTCATGACCTCCTTATTGCAAAATCACCAGGTCAATACCTCCTTATTACACGATCCCCAGGTCAAGGCCTCCCTATTACACAATCCCCAAGTCAAGACCTACTAATTACACAATCCCCAGGTCAAGACCTCCTTATTACACAATCCCCAGGTCAAGGGCTCCCTATTACACAATCCCCAAGTCAAGACCTCCTAATTACACAATCCCCATGTCAAGACCTCCTTATTACACAATCCCCAGGTCAAGGGCTCCCTATTACACAATCCCCAGGTCAAGACCTCCTTATTACACAATCCCCAGGTCAAGGGCTCCCTATTACACAATCCCTATGTCATGACCTCCTTATTGCAAAATCACCAGGTCAATACCTCCTTATTACACGATCCCAAAGTCAATACCTCCTTATTACACAATCCCCAAGTCAAGACCTTCCTATTACATAATCTCCAAGTCAATACCTCCCTATAAAACAATCTCCAAGTCAAGACCTCCCTATTACACAATCCCCAGGTCAAGACCTTCCTATTACATAATCTCCAAGTCAATACCTCCCTATAAAACAATCTCCAAGTCAAGACCTCCTTATTACACAATCCCCAAGTTGAGACCTCCCTACTTACATCTAATTTCTCTTGAAATTTAATCTTACAATGTATTTTTTTTATTTTGGAAAAAAATATACTGCCACAGTGTTCAACAAAGTGAGGAAAAATCACCAAAGATAAGAGTAAGGAATACTAAATACATTGTTAGTACCACATCATTAGAATCAAATAGTGTACATGTAGAGTATCAAATGTGGTAGAGTGAAAACAGGAAGAACACCATTTAAAATACCCTGAAACTCAACTAGGGAGTGTATGTTATAATGGTATACCAATTCTCACATTACCTGTACAATAAAAATCCACAGACATTCAAGCACCCTGACATAGGGATCTTTGTAGAGCCAGCCGTTTATTGTACTTATATAACTTGTGAGGAAGTCAGTGATAGGTTTAAGCCCTATGTCTATAGGAATATCATCATTCTTTAACATCAGGAGAACTGGTAAAGCATCACATACAAACAAGTTTAACTGCAAAAATATAAATAATATACATGTATAAATTAAATTTACATGTTTTTTTTACATAAAATCAGCCATTCAGAATTGATTTTTTCACTTTTATGAATACCTGGCTTTTATCCTAATCTTATTCACAGTCCAGTCGTATCAAGATGACAGTAATTATTTTAGAACATTATTGTCAAAATAATAATCCACTGATATGTACTTGCATATTTATCTTATGTCTTAAATATCACCAGTTTTTTTTCTATATCGCAAATGTACTTAGCAGCCTAACCTGCCCTTGCTAGTCAACGAATATTTCAAGCAAGAGGTGAATACATCTGACAGTTTTTATCCTGAACTAGAACTGTGTCCAAAGGACTTACAACATATATATGGTATATAGTGAAAAAATCAACAAGGGCCATAATTGTGTTAAATTTGGTCGCAGCGCAAAAATTCCTTCCTTAACTTCCATCTACACATTAAGGTTGTTCATCCCTGGAAGTTTAAGCAAAATCTGCCATCCGGTTTAAGAGGAGTTGCGTCACAAGATTTCGGGACGTACGGACAGACGTACGGATGGAAGGTCGTACGGACGGATGTACAAGTGCAATGCTATATGCTCCCCACTTTGTGGGGGCATAAAAAGGGGGAAATAATGGAGCATAGATGGCTTCCAGGATTATCTGCCCCTCAGAAATGCATTTCAAATTCGATAGTAACAGTGAACTTGAAAAATATACCTTTACAAAAATGTTATCCAAAAAGGAGCATAACTGAGAAAAGAAAATTAAAAGTTACCTGCCCTTTAAAAATGCATTCCAATTTAAAAATTGAACAAGTGTTCCTGGTTTTATGTGATTAACTTTGACAGTTTTTGAGAAATTGACCCAAGAAGAAAATAAATTAAGTAAAAAATGGGCATGTCTTTGCTAAAATGAATTCTAGAATAATCTGCCCTTCTGCAACGGTGTCATATAGTGACAGTGAACAGTGAATTACTTTGATAGTTCCTGAGAAGCCCTAAAAATCTAGGGATAAGGGAAACAACTTTGCACAAAATAATTTTAGGATGATCTGCCAATTTGAAATGGTGTCATTTTATGACAATAAACATGTATTCCAAGTCTGAAGTCAATAGCTTTTATAGTTTCTGAAACAATGAACTTTTAACTTAAAGGTTAACCAATGTGAATTCTTTGAAAAATGCAAGAAAAAATAATGTCTTACTCTATATGCCATAATCCTGCATAATGCTCTTAAAACTGCCATCAAATGGTCCCTGTCAGAATCTATTGGACTTGTTACCAATATCTGGTGATCTGATGTTGATTTATAACTAGGACATAACTGGGACGCAGTCTCCATCACATCTGAACTATCATTAGCTGGGTCATAATCATAGCTGTCAACAACTATAAACTCTGCAAAGAAAACATTCATCCATAATATACATATATTAAAAGTCAGAAGTATAACCCTTATGAAGTACAAATGTAAGAGTAAAAAAACACACTTTTTTTTCAGTAAATTACTAGGTTTAAAGAGATAATTTATGAAATACTGGTTGTGTGATACAGCTTTAAAGATCCCCAAGATGTGCCTGAAGGTTAAAGAAAATATTTGCAGTGGTTGTAGTGGCAGAACAAGCATGTAAAAGCTTAAACAAGAATTCTAATAATAAAATAAAGTTTATAAAGCTGTATTGTTCAGTAAAAATCCATGCTAGAGTTATTGGTCTTAGACAGCAACCCATATGTGTCAAGTGTCAAGCTCCTTAATGGTTCTAATAACAAGTATATACATACCACTTCTCAACATGTCTGTACTGTTAAATGATGTCTGCAGATATTTTCTATTCTGTTTTACTGACAGATCACCATAGATACCAAATGCATTACCAAGACAATGGTGGTACCAATCAAGACATGTCAACATCATACATACATTGTTCATTCTCACACACATCTGAAAATATCATCATTTTACGTATATTAAAAATCCTCAAATTATATGCTAGACTACCATGTAGTATCCATTCCCATGACGGAGGTAAATAAACAAAATGTACATGTTAATTCCAATTTATAATATAGTTTCTGAGACATATAAAATTTGACCACTTGTGTGTCTATACCATGCTGTATTCAATATAACAATATTTAAAGGTATCATCAGAAACATATTGCCTCCATTATGAGAAGAAAACTGCTGTAAATATTCTAGTTCTAGATCAATTATAATGCATGCTTGTATCATGTAAAGCCAAACATTCAGGAAAACTGTCATATGTATGCATCTTACATTGAAATCAAGAGTTATGATTAAAAATTGTTACAGTCAGTAATTTTTTTATATTTATTTTGATAAATTTTTCTATGGTTTACGGACGTTTTCGTGAGTTTTCATATAGGCATGTAGGCAAAATTAAAAATGTTCTATAGAATTTCTTTAAACTTGGCATGTTGTTAGAATATGATAACAGAAACATTTTAATATATATATGTCTATATGAAAACTCCAGAAAACGTCTTTAATCACAACTTTCAATAGAGGAGAAAGACCTAAGATGCCTGTATGTGTATTATTTCAGACATAAGGAGACACCTGTATAGAGTAATACACAACCTACTGTATGCTAGCACAGTATAGAGTAATACACAACCTACTGTATGCTAGCACAGTATAGAGTAATACACAACCTACTGTATGCTAGCACAGTATAGAGTAATACACAAACTACTGTATGCTAGCACAGTATAGAGTAATACACAACCTACTGTATGCTAGCACAGTATAGAGTAATACACAACCTACTGTATGCTAGCACAGTATAGAGTAATACACAACCTACTGTATGCTAGCACAGTATAGAGTAATACACAACCTACTGTATGCTAGCACAGTATAGAGTAATACACAACCTACTGTATGCTAGCACAGTATAGAGTAATACACAACCTACTGTATGCTAGCACAGTATAGAGTAATACACAACCTACTGTATGCTAGCACAGTATAGAGTAATACACAACCTACTGTATGCTAGCACAGTATAGAGTAATACACAACCTACTGTATGCTAGCACAGTATAGAGTAATACACAACCTACTGTATGCTAGCACAGTATAGAGTAATACACAACCTACTGTATGCTAGCACAGTACAAGCTTCCTCATGTAAAGGACAAGAGGGCTATCCTGGCCCTGTATTGCTTACAGATGACCAATGATATTGATAACTCTGGAAGGTTTAGGTTTATTTGAATACGTCAGGGCCCATATGGGCATGTGACAACATAAAACAGTACATACATACAAAATAATACAAAATGGCAAATAATATGTAAAAACAAAATACTACAAAATGGCAAATTATAAATGGTCATACAACTCCATGATGTAATAAAATTACTGTAATAATTGACTGATAATGGAGGATGAGAGAGAAAAATCAAAAATCATTGCGAGAAAAAACAAAGAGAAAAGACATAATCTAATAAGCTAACATTATTTAAATAATAACATAATATTTTTGCAAAATATGGCAAGTTTCAAAAGGATATCTTTATTACTATGGTTCATTAATTTTTCAAATTTTAAAGCACTTTGACGTTCATAGAAATATTTATCAAGATACAGCTTTCTTGTATTAACTAAATGTGAACATTCAAAAAGATAATGGAATTCGTCGCCTTAAGAGTTACTGGTACATAGGTTACAAGTTCTAAGTTCTCTTGGAATATCATCAAAGAAAGGAAGGTATTATGTTGAAATCTAGGTCAACTGATATCACAGTTCAAATATGCATCACAAACTGTACATGTATCGTTTTTTACTGTCTATAAAATGGATCCCTTATAAGAAGAGGGTCCTGATTTTAACTAAAAATCAGCAGCTTTTGCCAAGATACTCTTAAAGATGGGGTGAAATATTTTAGGGAAAATACCACTGGACCTCAGTGTTTTTCATGGAAAATTCGCATCAATAACAAACAAAAGCTGTCACACAATTGATGAATGCCCCCGAAAAGGTTTCTTAAGCATGCAGGTATTATGAAAAGAACAAAGGATGAAAGTAACTAATTGCTTTATATTGTTCTTGTGAAATGAAGTGCTGTTTATAGCAAACTTAACACCTTGGGGCAAGGGTCTTGGATACGACACATCATCTTGATGTGGTAGACATTTATGCCAAGTTATTATAAAATCCTTAAATGCATGACAATGTTACAGTTTGGAACTAATGTGTATCTTCACACTCTTCTTTTGAGCATAAGTACCTTCAAACTATTAGAGTGACCTTGACCTTGGAGGTAGGAACATATGTCTTACACACAACACATCATCTTGATGTGGTAAACATTTGTGCAAAGTTATTTTTAAACTTTTCAATGAATGACAAAGTTATACTGTAAATCCGGTATTTTTCGCGATGTTTTAATTTTCGCTATTATTCGCGAATCGGCCGCGTCGCTAATTCAAGATGCCGCGTAAATTTTATAATGAAGCATACATTATAAAAAAAATAAATCTGATGAAAATTCATTTTTTTTTCGAATTGTTATTAAGTTTTATAATGAATATAATAACTGAATGTAAATAATTAATATGTGCAATGTTTTATTTACATCATAATAAAGATATGAAGGTTACAGGATTTTCCCATTCCATTTTCCTCATCAATACATACATGTAAAACATAAAAAGAGAGAATATTTGCACTTTACAGACAATGTCAACACATATTGTTTAGGTGACAATAGATTTACGGTAATAAAGTGATCAACGGATAATTTTCTTACGAGAGTTCACAAGAGGGCTAATTTTTTCTTATAAATTCAAGTTATAGGCCTTGGAGAGAGTCTAATTATACAGTATTGGCTTGACTATTCGGAAGGTAATGTCACAAGGGTGTTTTATTGAGTATAATAATACTAATTACCTATGAATACATAAATTTGACAGAAAAGGTACAAAGGCTTGTTATTAAGATGTTTTATTAAGTAGATCACAGCTTTATTATTATTAATGCTTAATTGTCCCAAAAAAGGCACAAACCCTTCAGTAGTTATTGAGATAACAGCTTACAAGCAAACTTTACCATGAATTTCTAAGTTAAAAAAGGGGAGAAAAATCAGCCTAAATGCAAGATAGAATTATGGATCTTTGTCAGTGAACTACAATTATGACTCTAAATGCATATGTGAAGTTTTAAATAAATATCTTTAATAGTTATTGAGATATGTAAACTTGCATGTAAACATTAACCAAGAGACTAAGTAGAAAAGGGGATATGAATCAGCCTTAATGCAAGATAGAGTTATGGAACTTGGTCAGTGACATACAATTATGACCCTCCAATTATGACCCTACGTGCATGTGTAAAGTTTCAAGTAAATATCTTTGAAGACCTTTAACCAAAATTTCTAAGTTCCAAAGGGGCATAATTCTGTCAATATTGTAGGCAGAGTTATCCAACTTGTCAATCTGATGTACCTTGTTACTATAAATAAGTATTGTAAGTTTCAATTGAATATCTCAAGCAATAATTGAGATATTTGACTTTACAAAAACTTAAACCAAAATTTTTAAGTTAAAAAGGGCATAATTCTGTCAATATTGTAGGCAGAGTTATCCAACTTGTCAATCTGATGTACCTTTGTTACTATAAATAAGTATTGTAAGTTTCAATTGAATATCTCAAGCAATAATTGAGATATTTGACTTTACAAAAAACTTTAACCAAAATTTGTAAGTTAAAAAGGGGCATAATTCTGTCAATATTGTAGGCAGAGTTATCCAACTTGTCAATCTGATGTACCTTGTTACTATAAATAAGTATTGTAAGTTTCAATTGAATATCTCAAGCAATAATTGAGATATTTGACTTTACAAAACACTTTAACCAAAATTTCTAAGTTAAAAAGGGGCATAATTCTGTCAATATTGTAGGCAGAGTTATCCAACTTGTCAATCTGATGTACCTTGTTACTATAAATAACTATTGTAAGTTTCAATTGAATATCACAAGTAATAATTGAGATATTTGACTTTACAAAAAACTTTAACCAACGCAGACGCCGACGCGGACGCCGACGCCGGGGCGACTACAATAGCTCTCATATTCTTCGAATAGTCGAGCTAAAAACCGTCTCTTATTAACACCATTAACATTTACCTTGCATAAGAGCAACATAGTTTAGGAATTAACTTCAACTGTTATATTGCGGAAATAAAATTTAAATAATCGCGAATATAAATTGCTGACCCTGCCATCGCGAATTCATGAATACGCGAAATAATCCGGGGTAGGGTTTTCGCGAAATAAAGATCACGCGAATATAAAGTGATTTACAGTAGTCCAGACACGAATGTGATAGCGTGAACCTTCAAAATATAAGTGTGACCTTTGAAGAAGGGACGTGGTTCTTGGACGCGACAGAATGTTGTCATAAAATAGACGTTTGTGCCAAGTTATTTCAAAATGCCTCATTGCATGACAAAGTTACATTCTGGACATGATTGTTGTGTAAGTGGGGACACACGGACGGACAGACAGACATGAGCCTTAGCTGCGACACATCATCTTAATGTGGTAGACATTTGTGCCAAGTTATTTTAAATCTCTCCATGAATGACAAAGTTACAGTCCAGACATGAATGTGTATCTTCAAACTCTTCTAGAGAGAATGAGAACCTTCAAACCGTAAGTGTGACCTTGACCTTGAAGGTAGGGAAATGGGTCTTGGACGCGACACATCGTCTTGATGTGGTAGGCATTTATGTCTAGTTTTTTTAAAATCCTTTGATGCATGACAAAGTTACAGTCCGGACACAAATTTGTGTACCTATAAACTCTAATTGTGTTAAAGTGAAACTTCAAAATGTTAGTGTGACCTTGACCTTTGAGTTAGGAACTTGATTCTTGGATGCTACACATTGTCTTGATATGGAGACATTTATGCCAAGTTCTTCCAAAATCATTCGATGCATAACAAAGTTACAGTCCAGACACCAATGTGTGAACCTATTTACTCTAATTGGGATAATGTGAAAATAAGAAAAATGATAGTGTGACCTTGACCTTTGAGGTAGGGATGTGGTTCTTAACCCGACACATTGTCTTGATGTGGTAGACATTTGTGCCAAGTTATTTAAAAATCCCTCAATAAATGACAAAGTTACAGTCCGAACAGACAGACAGACGGTGCAATTTTAATATGCCTCCCTTCAAAGGCTTATTAAAAACAGTCTTGATTGGGTAGATGAATAATCATTTTTTCAAAAAGGACACAGGCTGTAATTAAACAGAGTTTAATTGGTTGACATGCACTTGTGTACATACAAGACCACTAAATTGGAAATGGATTACAGCAAATACCTGTCACTCAATAATTTTCATCATTGGAATTTCTAAGCAACTGGTGAACTGGTATAAGACTTCAAATCTGAATCTGTGGCAGAAGTTCAAATTTCAATGCTGTAGCACTCAATACAAAAAAAAGATCAAAAAGTTAAAATATCTTAGCACTAGCTCTTTGAAGGAGATTTCTATGAATATATTGAAAACTTATGGCCTCCTGTGCCTGGGCCAATTTTAATATGAACAATCTTGGTAGAGGTCAACTAGACAATGTTTCGTGCCAAAATGTAAATTCTAGCCCTTGTAGATTTGAAGAGGATTTAAAAAATTTTTCCTCCCTTCCAGGACTGTAGTTTTAACAATCTTGATAGAGTTCCTCTATACAACCACCCACCAATATAGCTCACAATCAGTACTATTTGCTCAGGTGAGCTGACTACAGCATGTGACTGACCTCTCTAGTAATTGGTTCATGTCTATCACACAGTAGAGCACTTTGTTTGTTCAAGTATTCAAAACAGTTTCTTGTTTCACTGAAGTCATGTCTACATCCCCATACAAGTCCACTAGCCTGCTGTGTTCTCAAATATTCTACCAGCTGTTCAAGTAAAACACACATACATTAATTTAACAATGTAAAATTTTGGTAGTGTAATTATCATTATCATAATTGGTTTACAATAATTTGTGGCATTTTACCTATAAACAGGTATAAATGTTGAATATAGAGGTAAAAGCCAAGCTAACTTCAACATTATTGTTTTAAATTTACCCTCCCTACTGTGCATGAAAATAATTACCTGCCTGACTCACAGAAACCAAATGTAATTTGGAATGTTTTAGCAGTAAAAATAATTGGGCAGTATATTAAGGACATTTTGAAAAACTTTACTCTGATTTTACATGTGTTACTCAATCACCATTATAACAGACATTAATTTGAAATATTTAACTAGTTCAGTCCCACTTTAATGAACATCAATGAATGATACTAGCATTTCTTTACTATTCAATAGATAAAACATTAACTGACAACACTATCAAAATTTCTTGAAACTCACATTATATGTAAATTCCCTTTACCATTATCATATTTCAGAAAGAAATTATGAATAGCTATCAAAAAATAATTCTTTTTCAAAACAATATTCTTAACTGAACAAGAGTTGTCTACAGGATAATGTGCTCCACTTTACCATTGTTCATAATTTCACAATAAGTAGACAAAACCTTCTTTGAAAAAAAAATTTTATTCATCTTTAAAAAAATTTTCTTTTCCTTTTAAAAAGGGCCCCCTCCTTTTTATAATTAAAACATCTTTTCTAATTAGAAGAGAATTTTGGGAAAAGGTTTTTTTACAAATACCCAACCCTTAAACAGATACTATATTTAGTGGAAAAAAAAGGGATAAAAGTTTTTTTTTAAAAAATTAAAAATTTAAAAAAAAAAAGCATTAAAATTTGATAAAATATCCTTTTTATGCCCAAATGACCTCAACCAAAAATTTTTAATTGTAAATGAAAACCACATTTAACAAAAAAAAACAGGGCTAAAAATCATTTTCAAAAAAAGTGTTTTAAATTTTTTTATTCCCTTTTATTTAAAAACCTTTCCCTAGGGCCCCCCAGTTCTTGGGGGTAACTTGTGTAGCCACACAGGTCCATACACAGCATATTATCAGCATATACAGTTATTGTTCCTCTTATTGCCTGAAATAGTAATAACACATGTCAATTTATTGCCTGGAATAATAATTTCACATGTTAATTTCTTAAAAAAATTTAAGAAAAAAACTAGAACTGCCACTGTCATGGCCTGAATACCCCCGCATACCACTTTGTCAGAATCAACAGTGACCATTGAGAGCTCAAAGACAACCTCCCTGCAAAATCTGAGGTTACTAAGCCAGTGCATTGCTAAGTTATGTATTCTACATGCTTTAAATATGAAAATGTCAGAATCAATACACTTTTGACAGGCATTCTTAAGCATTTGAGCAGACAAGCTTATCATAGTAAAATTCCTGTGACCTTGACCTTTGACTCAGTCACCTAAAAATCAAAAGGGGTCATCTACTAGTCATAAACAACCTCAATACCAAATATGAAGACTGTTGACCAAAGTCATCTTAAGCAATTGAGCTAACAAGCTTTTTTTAGTCAAGGTCCCTGTGACCTTGAACTTTGACCCAGTGACTTCAAAATCAAAAGGGGTCACCTAATGGTCATGATTAACCTCCATGTCAAATATTTAGACTGTGGGTCAAAGGATTTTTAAGTTTTTGGGCGGACTAGCTGTTTGAAGTCAAGGCCACTGTGACCTTCACCTTTGACCTGGTGACCTCAATATCAATAGGGGTTATCTACTAATCTTTACTAATCTCCATGCCAAATATGAAGACTGTGGGTCAATGGATTCTTAAGTAATTGGGCTGACAAGCTTTTTGAAGTCAAGACCCCTGTGACCTTGACATTTGACCTGGTGACCTCAAAATCAAGAGGGGTCATCTACTAATCGTGACTAACCTTCATGCCAAATATGAAGACTGTGGGTCAAAGGACTCTTAAGTTATTGGGCAGACAAGCTTTTTGAAGTCAATGCCCCTGTGACCTTCACCTTTGACCTGGTGACCTCAAAATCAATAGGGGTCATCTACTAATCATGACTAACCTCCATGCCAAATATGAAGACTGTGGGTCAAAGGATTCTTAAGTAATTGGGCAGACAAGAAAAAAACTGACTGCTGGATGACAAGCTGATTCCAGTCTACCCCACTTACAACTTTGTTTTGCAGGGTATAAATAGCAAACAGGAAGTATGCATATGTTATGTACAGTTAATATACTTCTGCAACACCCTGTGGTAGACAAAACATTGGTTGTTACTGAGAGGTTAAGTTTATCATGAAGACGAACTGTAGAAAGAATAAATACTGTCACTGTAAAGAAGTTATTGCTCTCCAGAGTTTACACTGTAAAAACATACATATTAGCATTTAATCACCATTTTGATGTACTGATAACTAAAGGTGAATGAGGGATGGGGGAAATAGGGATCTAAGTCAAACTAACATTATTAAGGTCATCTTTCAACATTTACTTGTGTAGGAAGACCTCAAGTGCCCATCCATGCATTATTTATTTAAACTGATTTAAGACGAAATGATGTCACAAAAATAAACCTATACTGGTTTCCTAGCAGTTTCCAGCTCCCTAGCAGTTTTCCAGCCCTTTATTATTTCTATCAAATACAGTCTATTATTACCAGTAAGGCACAGCAGTAAAAATAGTAAAGTGTTTTATATGTTTTGAAATTTTGCCTGTTGTTTGAAGTTATATAAGAGAACTTGCAACATTTAAAAATAAGCAACACCTGGGGAATTGTAGTTTGATGCCCATGCACAATAACTAAGACCCCATTCTATGTAAATTAATTACTTTGAACAAAATATTGCAGACAACATGAAAAAGGTCTGGAATTTCTATTTCTTTGATAAAATCATCTTAACATTGCCTATTGGTAATGAATTATAATCAAAATAAAAAAGGTCTGGAAAACTGTTATGAAATTTTGCATAAAAGTAAGAAAAGGTGTTATATTTCAGGCCTATGTTCCAATCAAAAAGTAAAGTAAAAGAGCAACATTTAAAACAGGTACCTAACTTTATTCTGTCAAAGTTTTGTACTTGTCCTTAGACAAGATATTTATTATTTGTAAAAAAGTGTGATTTGGGACTGAAAACTGCTAGGAAACCTATAGACCATGGATTTGCTGCATGCAATGTTTCTTTTAACATTCATATTTTCTGATCAAATGTAAAGAAGTTATTTACAAAAGTGAAAACATACAACAAGCATAGATAAACTCTTGTTATTACAAGATGACATGGTAAATGTTTTCCACAAATGACATCTTACTTCCTTATTTTATTTCAATGTTCAGATGCTTGCAATTTCATATATCCCTCTAACAAACCAAAATCTGTTAAGTATGAAATTTAGACCTGCTTAATAACAGATGAAATTATATTCTGTTCCAAAAATCTTTGATTTAATAAAAAGGAACTTACACCAAGGAAACAATCATACAACTTCTGTCTTGACTTTGTACATACTGGTGGACTTGGAAATTCATCTGATGTCAGCACTGACTGGTCTGACTCATAGCCTGCTCTAGAAGGTGCTAGTGTTCTACATAATACCTTCCCAATACCTACAAGTCTTTGTAAAATAATAATCACATCAACAGCAGAGCTTGAAATTGGTAGAGTTGTTAATACTGATTCACAACCATGTGCTGGGTGGGGTAATGAAATGTTTGATGTCAGAGAGTTTGTAAAAGAGTCTTCAATATGTGGAGAATTAATTGTAACATGAGGAGCTTCAGAATCTCGTAATTTACTTGCATGAGTTTTAAGAGTTGTTTTAGTTATATGATCACCGGAGACTGGATTGTCAAATGTCTTGTTAAATGGCACTGACTTTGTAGAATGCACAGTTTGAGATTTGACAATCTTTGAGGTAATTATACCCATTTTTGATTGAGATAGTTTTGTTTGGTTATCATTTATTACTCTAACATCTGGTTTGACAATGTGAGTAAAAGCTGATGTACTAAGAGCAGGCGGGATTTCAATGACTGGCTTAACAGGAACAAAAGCAGAAGAAACTGTCTGTACCACAGGCCTCATCACAGCCACATTACCAGCTATCTCTGATATCACTGTGATTGGTGCATTTTCAGAATTACCACCAGGTGGTGTTGATGATATCACTTCCTGTAATGGAGGAAAATTGAAGTCACCCTCTGGTGAACAAGAGTCATCTGTTATTGTCCCACTGTCATCTGATTCTTCATTTTGACTCTTTTCTATTTTTGAGCTCATAAACTTGGAAATTTCTGGGGAACCATTTGAATTACTTCTGTGAAATTCTTGCTTTGATGATTTTTGTATACCTTTCCTTACTGGAGCATTTCTATTTTCATTAAAAGAAGTTGGCACCATTTCTATGAACTTTTCACTTGACTGAATGTTTGGAAGAGAGCTGCTGTGCCGAAGATGTGCAAAAGAGAGTAAATAATCTTCATCATAATGACCTAATGACCTTGCCATATCACCCAAATAAGAACCTTTTAACATTGAACTCTGGGAAATATTAACTGGGTCAGAACTAGGACGTCTTTCTAAAAGTGACGTTGCTGAATCAAAATGCATCTCGGATATAGATTGTATAGGAAATTCTGGTGGTTTGGTATATTCTTGTCCCTTTGATTCAGCTTGATCTGTAGACGGTTGGTGCTGTCCTCGAATATTATTCTGAAAAAAAAAAATATGAGAATATTTACATTACTAATATAGTAACAATTATACCAATACAATGTAGTCGTCTACAGCATCTCTAATGGAGGGTTTTTGTCTTGACAAGACCAGAGATATTTCTCAATATTTGTATATAATCTGATAAAGGTCTAGACCAACAACTTTTGTGTAAATTTAATATAATATGCTCACATCATTTTTCCCAAATAATCTAAATCATTTTAATTATACAAAATGTCACAGATATGAAAAGTGTCTAAATGCTTTTAACTGACAAATCAAGCAAAGAATATAGCATAAAAAAACTGGTTTTCAGTTTAATTTATACTTTATTTCTTTAATTTCCATATTTTTCTGCTTCATGTTATCCATTTGATCTATGTAAGAATTTTATGTTTTTAGGCTTTTGGACCTTAGACTAGTAGAGCTCCTTAAATACACTGATACACAGTTTTAAATTGTCCCCTGTATGATTTTCTTTTTTCTATTTTTCCTTCTTATAATGTTGCACATGTTTGTTGGGATTTATACACTGTAATGCAAGTGATACAAGTCTTATGTGACCAGATGTTCATGAAAAGTCTATACAAGGAGATATTTCTACTTTATCTATAAATAGCTAACATATCTAATTGTCTGTACTTTAAGCTTATAGCAGATTGTTTTTTAGTTTGATTTTATACTAATATATCTTGTCAGTCAGTGTACCTAAAAATATGTCTGAAAATAATCAATCACAATAATAATAATCACATCAACATTTTTGCTGTGTTACTCTGTTACTGCTTGCTATGACAGTGGAAAGTAGTGGAGTGTCAGTTAGATCATGATTTAAATGAGAGTAGAACAAAATCAATCATGTACATACATGTAGAATTCTCAATGTTGAACCTATATATATAAGAAACAAAAATTTTCTTTCATTGAACAAAAAAAACCTGATAGTTTGTTTTCCATTTTATTAGTGAAATATCGTTTGAAATTACCATACTGCTGACAATCTTACCGGAGTAGATGTGAGCGAAGACGGTGATGTAAATGCACTATTTAAAGATGGTGTCAATGATTTAGAAGTGGTTCTCTGTCTTTCAGTTTTGTGACTAGGTGACTGTAAGGTACCAGTCCACTTTAACTCACACACTGGATACTGAAAATAAAAGTTAAAAAATCAAGATCTGAAATGTCACAATTGAATGATGTCATGTGCAATAATTATTACAATCATGAAATATTCTGCTTTTTTTCAAAAACAAGGAATTATTGTGAATGAATCTATTAGCTCAAGTTGTGAGCATGTCAAAATGAAAATTATGAATGTTTTCACATAACTAAATTTGTACTTGCAGGATTCTACATGTTCTGCTTCTAGTTTTTGTTAGTTTTGTTTTTTATTGTTGTTTTTTTTCTAACTTGCTTCAAGATGTATTCTTTTGCAAATTTGGAAAACAAAATTAATGAGTTATGAATCCAGATATTTCAAATAGTATTATTTCTTTTTCAAACAAAACAAAACAAGTTAAAAAGGTTCTTGCTTGGAAATTTTTAATACTTTAAAGGCATTTCATTTAACTCTTTTTAAAATTGTTTGAAAAAAAAAAACAACATTTGTATTGAGAATATAGTTTGAAATAATCGATCAATAGAAGAAGGTCTTTGGAGACCGGTGACTGTCGAAGGACATCCTTCTGTATCTTTCATAAATGGCTTATATTAACGAACTGTATGGGTTTTTTTTGTATTTCTTTTTCTTTAAGTGAAATAAACAATTATTCTTTTCAAAAAAAAATTAAATACAATTGTGTGAATAATAATTCCATGAAAAAAAAATAAAGTAAACACACAAGTTTACGCAGAAAATATCTCTATTTATTATGGCAGATGTCACTACTAATGTTATAATTTTATAGGTTTTTTTTTAATATAAACAATTTACTTTATGTAAAATTTTAGATAGATATTAGAGGAACATTAGTAATTTTCAAACACATCAAGTTTTTCACCTTAAACGGTCAAATAATGATAGAAAAATAGAGATATCATAGAAGTTAACACATAAAAGTGTTATAATGTACATAATTTGGTATACATCTCCAAATTTAATCTGTAACATACAGGAAAACAGTGTTTAGCTTGGTTTTCAAAAAATGTCAATTAACCAATCATGTACAGTTAACTTTACAGATCACATGCTCCTCCATGTACCAAAAACAGGTCATGTTCTCCTCCAGGCCTCAAAAATTAATCACGTACCAATACCCTGCGGGCTTCAGTCTGCAGGGAATGAAGCAGAGGTAAGATTAGGTAGTCAATAAGTACCACAAGTACAAGGTAATTTATAGTGTTCACCTAGAAACATTAACTGTTACACTACAGCCAGCATTGTACACATGTGACCTGTCTAGACCAGGTGATAGTCTTTGCTGTTTGATCACCATCTACACAGTCAGTACTTATTTTGAAATTTTCTCTGAGAAAAATTAATGGTTTTGTACTAACAGAACAACAAACAAGTCAGTTTAGGATATTTAGCTTTGTGTTAACACCAATGCTAAAATACTAAAAATACCATTCATTTACCATAGATGAAAGTTGTGTGACATATAAAAAAACAAAGCAAACATAGTAAGTTCACAGATATTTATATATTTATATTTACAGATATACCATGACATAATACGTTCACAGAAATACACTGACATAGTAACTTCACAGACATATCCTGACATAATAATTTCACACAGACATAACATGACATAATATGTTCAATGACATACCCTGATATAATATGTTCACAGAAATACACTGACATAGAAAGTTCACAGACATACCCTGATATAATATGTTCACAGAAATACACTGACATAGAAAGTTCACAGACATACCCTGATATAATATGTTCACAGAAATACACTGACATAGAAAGTTCACAGACATACCCTGATATAATATGTTCACAGAAATACACTGACATAGAAAGTTCACAGACATACCCTGATATAATATGTTCACAGAAATACACTGACATAGAAAGTTCACAGACATACCCTGATATAATATGTTCACAGAAATACACTGACATAGTAAGTTCACAGACATACCCTGATATAATATGTTCACAGAAATACACTGACATAGTAAGTTCACAGACATACCCTGATATAATATGTTCACAGAAATACACTGACATAGTAAGTTCACAGACATACCCTGATATAATATGTTCACAGAAATACACTGACATAGTAACTTCACAGACATACCCTGATATAATATGTTCACAGACATAACATGACATAATATGTTCATTGACATACCCTGATATAATATGTTCACAGAAATACACTGACATAGTAAGTTCACAGACATACCCTGATATAATATGTTCACAGAAATACACTGACATAGTAAGTTCACAGACATACCCTGATATAATATGTTCACAGAAATACACTGACATAGTAAGTTCACAGACATACCCTGATATAATATAAGACATACTCTAACATAAGTCCACAGACATACCCTATCAGCAGATACAGTTTGTGTGATCAACTTTTGCATATCTAACTTTAGCATTCCCACCCAGTGCTGAGCCTCGTTCAGAAAAAGATCACGCCATGTCTGCATCCTGTCAAAGAAAACAATACAGCATTGTTTAACTTGCAGATAAATTTGCCATTATTTACAAGGCTTTTGAGGATAAATGGTGTAGCTGACAGGTTAACACTTAATATAAGTTATTTTTGTATAATATTGTTGCTAATTGTTCTTGAAAAGGGCAAAAGAAAATGACGCCATTTAGATCTTTTATAAAACCATCTGTTTCATCCTTTTTTATGTGTCAGCTAAATGAACCCATTCCATATTTCTAGAAATTCATGTTTCCCACAGTTGCTATAAATAATCATCTCTACATTCAAAAATTGGCTGATGGATTCATTTTTCCCTATTACTTGATCAGTAATAGGTCATGCAAATTCCCAAAGATAGTTTTGTATATTCTCCTTTTCAAATTAGACTTACTCAGTAAGAATTTCCCAGATTTCAATTAGTGTCTGCAATAAAAGAGTTATATCCAAATTATATCCAAAAATGAGTATAGTATATCTTAAAAAATACAAGAGGGCCATGATGGCCCTGAGGTCGCTCACCTGTATATAGGCCCCCAACAAAGCTCATTGGGCTTTTTAAAAGAAGATTTTTTTTAAGTTTTTACTATACACATATAGTTAAAAACAATGACACCCCTGGGGCCGGGCCAGTTTTGACCCCAGGGCTTTTATTTGAACAAACTTTGTAGACACTTACTAGAAGATGTTTCATGCTTAATATCTAAACTCTAGCTATTTGGGTTTTTTCAAAGAAGATTTTAAGTTTTTGCTATACACATATAAAGAAAATCATTGACCCCTGGGGCGGGGCCAATTTTGACCCCAGGTCTTTTATTTGAACAAACTTTGTAGACACTCACTAAAAGATGTTTCATGCTTAATATCTTAACTTTAGCTATTTGGGTTTTTTCAAAGAAGATTTTTTAAGTTTTTGCTATACACATATAAGGAAAATCAATGACCCCCGGGGCGGTGCCAATTTTGACCCCAGGGCTGTTATTTGAACAAACTTGGTAGACACCTATTAGAACATGTTTGATGCTCAATATCTTAGCCATAGCTCTTTGAGTTCTTTAAAAGAAGATTTTTTAAGTTTTTACTATATTCATATAGGGAAAATCAATGACCCCCGGGGCGGGGCCAATTTTGACCCCAGGGCTTTTATTTGAACAAACTTGGTAGACACTTATTAGAACATGTTTCATGCTAAATATCTTAGCTCTAACTCTTTTGGTTCTTTAAAAGAAGATTTTTTAAGTTTTTACTATATGCATATAGGGAAAATCAATGACCCCCTGGGGCTGGGCCAATTTTGACCCCAGGGCTTTTATTTGAACAAACTTGGTAGACATCTATTAGAACATGTTTGATGCTCAATATCTTAGCCATAGCTCTTTGAATTCTTTAAAAGAAGATTTTTTAAGTTTTTACTATATGCATATAGGGAAAATCAATGACCCCCTGGGGCGGGGCAAATTTTGACCCCAGGGCTTTTATTTGAACAAACTTGGTAGACACCCATTAGAACATGTTTCATGCTAAATATCTTAGCTCTAGCTCTTTGGGTTCTTTAAAAGAAGATTTTTTAAGTTTTTACCATATGCATATAGGGAAAATCAATGACCCCCCCGGGCGGGGCCAATTTTGACCCCAGGGCTTTTATTTGAACAAACTTGGTAGACACTCACTAGAAGATGTTTCATGCCAAATATCTAAGCTCTAGCTCTTAGGGTTTTTTTAAAAGAAGATATTTAAAGTTTTTTCTTTCGGTTGCCATGGCAACCAGAGTTCTGCATGGAATTAAATTCTTTGAACAATTTTTAAAGGTGACCACCAAAGGAACATTCCTGTGAAGTTTGGATGAAATTGGCCTAGTGGTTTATGAGGAGATGTCATTTAAAGTAAAAGTTTACGGACGACGGACGGACGACGGACGGACGACTGACGAAAAGCGATCACAAAAGCTCACCCTGTCACTTTGTGACAGGTGAGCTAAAAACTATTCCATAATTCATGGGAAGTCTGATAATTTATACATGGGTTTAGCAGTTTTAAGGCTGAACAACTAATGAAACTTACTGTGGAGTAATATAGATTGCCCAGTCTTGGTCTAACTGGTTCAGTCTATATGCCAAACTCAACATCAATTTGTTTATCTCCAAAACATTCTGAAAACAGAGATAACAACAAATCACATTGATGGATCATTACACTATATACAGGGTTTCTTCAACATCATGAATTAATATTTGTGATTTAATGAATTACAGCAATAGTGCAGTTTTATAAATTAATTATATGTTTGACAGGATATGTTACCATGTATAATTAGTTAAAACTGTATAACACTCACCTTCAGGCTTGATTATAGTATATTATACAACCTCTCATAAAATCATTACATGAATAAATAATGAACATAATAAACAATTGTCGAACATTTTAGTGAAAAATGTTTGATAATACATAATTAGTGTATTATATAAGTAGTTTCATAAATACTTCAAAGTTTCTTTGACTCAGTATCTCCAATGTTTTCTAGATTTTTTGAACAAGGCTTTATGTAGGGTATCATTTAAAATTTGATGTCAATATTTTAAGAGTATACAAAATTTATTTTAATTTTATTGTAAAAGGAAGCTATAAGTCTTTTAACACTCTCTTGAATCGGTTCCTAGAACCAACCAGTACTACAAAAAGAATAACCACTCAGTCATGCAACCATTTAATTTTTTTCACCACTTATCCTCTATAGATTACCAAATAACTTTTACAAACTATTTAATTGGGAGCGTGATGTTAAATTTTATTAAATCTTATTTTAAAAGTAATCTCTAAATAAAATAGTTTTGTACTGTTTCCATTCCTAACAGTGAAAGATAATAAATGTATATAGTTACAGTTTGTTTATTCTGTTTCAGTAACTCCATGACATCTGACATGAGGAGTTTGTAGAATTCCTGTGCTGCCTCTACCGTGATGTTAAAATACCTGTATGTATAAACATGCATTATAGATTAGTAATCATTCCAACATATTTAGTGACTTTATGTTTTGAGATCAAACTAAAAACCATGAACTTGACCAGAAGTGACATCATAATAATTATATATATCATAATACCTTTCCTGTGTATCTTTTCATTTTGCCACATTTTGAATCATTTTCTATTGATATTTCTTTCTTATCATGACTAATCTATTAAAGTATCATATATAATGTTTCATTATAAAAGCACTTATATCAGTTTGAATTTAACAGAAATTCTACTTTTCATAAAAGTTTCACAGTACTTTGAACATTCAAAAGCTATGACAGGTAAAAGCCAGACGGACCAAGTGATTCAAGCCTGTACCCTCTTATTCTGAGTCTACATCAATCTGAGTCAATCCAAAAATCATTCTATTACCATCCACAAATCACTCATATTATTAATGAATGATTTTAAAAACTATATATCTGAATCATTACAGGACAACACCTACTTGTTAAAAGCAGACTGGTAATTGTGCTTGTAGTCTGTCACCTCATCTCTTATATGACCTATCATCATGTTTAACTACAAATACAAACAAAATATCATTATGTTTTTATTGAAACATAGATTATATTTAGGAAATAGATATCAATTCTGAGTGCATTGTTTGTAGATAATGCACGGTTTGAGTTCAAATGTGTAGTTATATAATCATGAAGGCCTTTGAACGAAAAAACATGCATTATTATATGATCTAAATATAGCTGCAATCTCATTGGTCCAAACAGTAGTCAACAGAACTTTTTATAAAATCATATTGACTGGGTGTAGTATCATATTCACTGGCTGAATTGGATTTTCCCAGTCTAAAAATAGATTGAGACTCATATTCAATGATCATACACCGTAGACTGTTAATTACGCGTGTTAATTAAAAAAAAATTGTTGTTTATTGTTCTTTATGGCATATTTCTCGATTAAAATATCATTACTTTACTATAATATCATTAAAGGTTACACGGCAATGATGAGTATAAACTTGAATTATTTTTGTATGTGCAGCGCGTCCCGCGTGGTTGTTGCATGCCTAACACGTGCCTCCTTTTTCCCGGGCTTCAACAAGGCAAAATTTATACATGTATATAAGGTTGTATTTTTTTTTTATTTCTTAGCCTATTAATATAATAAAACAATCACTGACTAGTGAGCCATGGAATATGATGTGATATTCACAGGCAGAAAGTCATATTGACCTCGGCTATCACCTCGGTTAATATGTCATCTGCCGGTGAATATCACATCATATTCAATGGCTTACTAGTCAATAATTGTATAATAATGCACGAAGAATTAATATCTATTTCCATTCTAATAAGTAAAGAAAAATATAATAATTATTATATAGTTGGACTTTATGTTTGGTGCTTAAATTTTGTTTCCAATAGTAACATACTTTAAAGGCTGTTCCAGTGGGTTGAAAAAAGTGTTGTACCGTGTGTAGAAACATTTTCAGAATAACGATTTTTGAAAACGTTCATAAAACTTTGTTTGTTTATTTTAATTCACTCTATATTTTTCAAGCGAAATACAAAGTATTAATAGTGAAATAAATGTGAAATTTAACTTGTTTGCGACATAGAAATAGCATTCTTGATTTGATTGTTTTGCACATGCTGTTTGGTGCTACATTGTGATGTCATATAAACAACACTTTAAATGTCTGTACAGCGTTAATGACTGAACTAAAGATATTAGTGTTCGGATTCATTTTCTTAGTTAGACCATTTTCTTTCATTCTAGTTTTCACAACAAAATTTGACAAAAAAAATAGTTTTTTTATTTATCAGATTTTTCAAACAAAAAAAAAATGTCGTTTTCAAAATGCACAGGGAGGTAATAAGGAAGGCGAGTGCATTGTTGTAGAATAATGCACACTTCCGGCCTTCTTTGTTTATATAGAAAATTTTCCTATATTGTTAGAATCTAGAATGAAGCTGAATATCTATTTGACATAAATTGTTTTTGTCTGAATTATTCTTGTAACTTTGCCCAGTAATTTTGTATGAAATAGTCTACCCATAGTCTACCAATGTGACCCCTGCAGACCAACTTTACCACTGTTTACTATTTAGTCAGTATATATTTTGAAAAGTTCGCAAAAATGATGAACTGTTTTGTTCAGATTGAAAAGTCTATTTAAGATGTTTAGGGCTTGTGTGGTAATGGCCAAGATACATAACAATTAATATAATGATAAAGAAAGGTAAATATAAATGAAACAAAAATAAAAAAATCTATCTAAAACTTCATTGAAAATTATCCTGCTGAAATACTTCAAGTTGGAATTGTTTATTTTTTTAAACTTTAAATTTTTTTTGAAACTTGAAGATGGTAAGCCATAAATGTACAGTCTGCGAGTTAACTAGTGACTAGATTATTCATTTTTAGTTCCAGCACAATAAGAGTATATGCCTTCAATGCTTTTACTATGTAATTTAACAAAAGGCTGCAAAAAATGACTCCTTTAAACATGTAATAAAATCACATCATACAAGCTGGGGACTAAGCTGTGTGTCCCACTTGTTGTGACGCAGCTCATCTTCAGCCACCATCTTGTGTCGCTCATACATTGTAGGGAAGATTGCCTGCAAATTAAAAAAAATTATTCATAACACATCCTAGGACTTGATATTACACAACAAGCAAACTACTGCGTTGATAATGATTAACAATGGACAGCCAATTGATAAGTGTAGCATTTAATGCAGTTATATAAATTACACTGATAAATTTTCATAGAATTGCGTGGAGACAATGTCAATAAGAAGGACTGAATAAGTCTTACATCAGTTGGCCATTATTTCTCTTATTTATACAGTTTGCTAAGGACCTAAAAATAACTTTTCATCACAATCAAAAAGACAAAAAAAGATGGCATGTGCCCCTGAATAGATGAGAAGATCACTTGACCCTAATTTCCAGTTGATTTTCCCCAAAATATATGTTCCATGCACATCAATAAGTAATTGGAAGCATATCCTCATAATAAACTGACAACATAACCTTTAAATCTCAAAACAAACAAAAATATTCATATAGAGAAAAGTCTTCAGCAAATATATTCAAGTGTATATTGTAACTAGAAATGTGTCCATAGGACATGGGTGCCCCCACCGCCCCAGTGTTCTGTCAATCTTATGACTCTAGGTCAAATATTTTTTGAAAACTAAAAATCTTTTACTGAGCAAAGGGCAAGAACTTTACAAATACTGAATAAATCCAGAAGCAAACCCCAAGGTGCATAAGTACACATGCTGACCAACATTCCTGTAAACTTTCAAGCCTACAAGTGAAATATTTTCTGAGCTATGCATGAAAATTGCAAATTTATACTACTGTAAGTCAAGGGCAATAACAAAACTGAAAAAAATCCACATGTAAAGTCCCAGGTGCATAGCTTCACAGTGATGTGAATCATTATTCCTGTAATTTAGTGATGTTGATCATTATTTCTGTAAAGTTGGTTGATTCTAACTCAAGCACTCAAGGAACAAATAACAACATAATGAAAAGGTTTTTACTAAGTCAAGGGAAATAACTCTACAAATACTGGATAAATCCACAAGCGAAACCCCAGGTGCACAACTACATATGCTTAGCAACCTTCCCGTAAGGTTTAATGACTCTATGTCAAATCCTTTTTTAGTTACATGCGACACAAGTTAAAAATTGCAAAATTTTACTAAGTCAAGGGCAATTACTCTAAAAATACTAAATAAATCCACACGAAAATATCCAGGTGCACAATTAAACATGCTGATCAACATTCCTGTTAAGTTTCATGACTCTAGGTCAAATACTTTTTGCGTGCAACACAAAAGAGAACGGACGGACGGGGACGGACAAGCATAAATCTAAATGCCCGCCACTATGTCAAATCCTTTATGAGTTACATGCGACACAAGTTAAAAATTGCAAAATTTTACTAAGTCAAGGGCAATTACTCTAAAAATACTAAATAAATCCACACGAAAATATCCAGGTGCACAACTAAACATGCTGATCAACATTCCTGTTAAGTTTCATGACTCTAGGTCAAATACTTTTTGCGTGCAACACAAAAGAGAACGGACGGACGGGGACGGACAAGCATAAATCTAAATGCCCGCCACTAAAGTGGGGGCACAAAAAATCAAAATAAGTTTCTTTATTGCACTAAATTTTAATAACAACAAGAACATGTTTGTTAAACACAAATGTCCATCGTTCAGATTATATTTTAACAAATAATACCCATTCACTCAGTTATGGACAGAAAAATTGCCCAAAAATTGAATTGTTAACAAGGTTATTTATTGCTTGACAGAGTCATGGCGTTTTGTAATTGTGAAAAATATAACTTGGCAGGTCACTGCTATGAAGTTAAAAAATATTCAAATTTATCTAATACAATTAAACTTCATTCGCTCGAACTCGGATCGCTTGAATATTTCCCTTTGCTCGAACTCATCACCCAGTCCTGGCGAAATTCCTATATAATATATATTGTTCTACCTCGGATTCCTCGAACATTGATGGCTAGAACTCTTGAAACCTGATCTCTGGTCCCTTCGGCAGAAATATAGTTAAAATCACACCTTTTCGGTCGAACACAAGTTGCAGGTCGACATGTTCTAAATAAGTGACAGCTGGCTTCACATGTTTTTAACACCTCGTGATCGTGATAAAGGCAATTTGTTTATTATGATAATATTGTTTATTTGGTTTCTTTAGTAATGATAAAAAGAAAATAACTTGTAAAATAAGTGAAATGTGAGTCAATAAATAGATAACGTTACTCAGACGGCTTTAATTACAGCTGTGGTGCATGTAACATGAATATCTATAGAATGATACTTGTATGTGTGTTTATACAATATGCATGTATATAGATTAACACAGTGTACCGTTAATACTTATTTGAAAACACTGGGATAATAATTCTTAATATCTAAAAGAAATGATGTATTTGACAAACTGATGTACTAACAAACAATTATATTGACGAATTATCATTCGACCGAAGTAAGCTGGAAAAGGTTTAGGCAAATGTCCTATGTGAAAAAGTTCTACCTCGGTTGGCTTGAACTACCGATCTCTCAAAACAAATTTGCACAGACCCTCCGAGTTTGAGCGAACAAAGTTTGACTGTATATATAAATGCAAGACATTAAACAACATCAAGCAATATGGCAACATTGGTTCACTTCTAAGTCCTTGAAACAAAAATAATATTTGCACCAGCTTGTCAATTCAGAGAATACTTATTTACTCTATTTTGTAGATTCAAAATAAACATATTTGAACTTCAAAGAATTCTCACTTGCACTATCTTGAATAATTTGTTTCCAAGTTGTTCCTTAGGACTCAGCAACAGATACGTCTTGGCTTGTAATGTAAGTGACAGCAACTCTATGAGTGGTTCTATAAATGGAAACAGGCAGTTGTATATTAAAACGAGCAACGCTTAAGTAGGGCAATATATGCAAGAATGAAAATATGCAAAAATGAAAAGATGTCTGAATGAAAATATGTATGAATGAAAATATGTCTGAGTATTCAAAAATAGTATTTCAATTACGGTAAGCACCCATTCATGAAACCCCACTAAGAAAATGTTTTATTTTGATTATCCTTATAATATAAAATATAAAATAATGACAATAAGGGTTGGAGCAATTATGAACCGAGTAGCATGATTCATAACACTTTTGTTAATGTCTATTAGGCAATGCTACATGCCAAATATAATGTATATGAGCTCTGAGCACTGTAGTGTTGTAATGTAATATAACAGTATAGCACTAAAATGTATTTCTAATATAAGTCTATATTTATCAAGTGACATCCAGGGTAGGGCTAGTACTGACCCAAGGGGCATTTGTAGCAGTCCACAAGGCAATGGTGCCATCCAAATAAATAAGCTCTTAGCATAGTAATTTTACACAATAAGACTTAAATGTGTTTTATATAATTCTGCCAAAATTTCTTCTGTCAGTTCAAAAGATAAAGAGCTGACACATACTCTTGAAAAAACTTATATTCATCCTTTCATTATGATTAACATTTTTGATAAATAGCTTCAATTTCCTTCCATCAGTTCAAAACATACAGAGACAACTGATAGGGTAATTGTTATTCAGATGTTCATAATAAATCACTCAGGTCTACAGATGTTCATAATAAATCACTCAGGTCTACATATGTTCATAATAAATCACTCAGGTCTACAGATGTTCATAATAAATCACTCAGGTCTACAGATGTTCATAATAAATCACTCAGGTCTACAGATGTTCATAATAAATCACTCAGGTCTACAGATGTTCATAATAAATCACTCAGGTCTACAGATGTTCATAATAAATCACTCAGGTCTACAGATGTTCATAACAAATCACTCAGGTCTACAGATGTTCATAATAAATCACTCAGGTCTACAGATGTTCATAATAAATCACTCAGGTCTACAGATGTTCATAACAAATCACTCAGGTCTACAGATGTTCATAATAAATCACTCAGGTATACAGCATTCATAATTAAATTACTTCTCTTCTGAACTTCATATATAGCAATAGAACACCACACCACATTCTAAATTAAAATCTGTTTCCTAAATATAATTCATTTATATTTCAGTAATATTTTGAAAAAGCATTCTTACCAACACCATCTAGTGGTCTTTTAGTTGTGTAGAGAGTTTTCATCTTCGATATTGCAGCAGACGATTTGGCTTCCAGCAGATATAAACTGTTCTCTAATATTGAATACTAAAATACAGAAATGTAATGTTACATTAATTTACTTCATAACATTTTACATTCATGTTGTTTATTTTGTATGATTTATAATACCCAAACTTTTAATTGAAAATTCCATAGAATGACTGCATAAATTTGAGAAAAAAAATATGTTAGAGTGCATTGACAATATTTTATTATTTAGAGTGATGTATTCTTCATCCATTGATGTATTCATACATTAATGTTGTCATCCTAGAGTAATGCATTCAACAGACAATGATGTGTTCATACAATGATGTATTTATACAGTGATGTATTCATACAATGATGTATTAATACAATGATGTTTTCATACAATGATGTATTCAGTGATGTATTCATGATGTATTATACAGTGATGTATTCATACAATGATGTATTCATACAGTGATGTATTCATCATTCAGTAATGTATTCATCATACAGTGATGTATTCATACAGTGATGTATTCATCATTCAGTGATGTATAATGTATTCATCATACAGTGATGTATTCATCATTCAGTAATGTATTCATCATTCAGTGATGTATACACACAGTGATGTATTCATCATTTAGTGATGTATTAATCATTCAGTGATGTATTCATCATACAGTGATTTATTCATCATTCAGTAATGTATTCATCATACAGTGATGTATTCATACAGTGATTCATTCATCATACAGTGATGCATTCATCATACAGTGATGCAGTCATCATACAGTAATGTATTCATCATACAGTGATTTATTCATCATTCAGTAATGTATTCATCATACAGTGATGTATTCATACAGTGATTCATTCATCATACAGTGATGCATTCATCATACAGTGATGCAGTCATCATTCAGTAATGTATTCATCATACAGTGATGTATTCATCATTCAGTAATGTATTCATCATACAGTGATGTATTCATCATTCAGTGATGTATTCATACAGTGATTCATTCATCATACAGTGATGCATTCATCATACAGTGATGCATTCACCACATAGTGATGCATTCATCAAATAGTGATGTATTCATACAGTGATGTATTCATCATTCAGTAATGTACTCATCATACAGTGACGTATTCATACATTGATGTATTCATACAGTGATGTATTCATCATTCAGTAATGTATTTATCATACAGTGATGCATTCATCAAACAGTAATGTATTCATACAGTGATGTATTCATCATTGAGTAATGTATTCATCATACAGTGATGCATTCATCAAACAGTAATGTATTCATACAGTGATGTATTCATCATTCAGTAATGTATTCATCATACAGTGATGCATTCATCAAACAGTAATGTATTCATACAGTGATGTATTCATCATTGAGAAATGTATTCATCATACAGTGATGCATTCATCAAACAGTGATGTATTCATACATTGATGTATTCATCATACAGTGATGCATTCATCAAACAGTAATGTATTCATACAGTGATGTATTCATCATTCAGTAATGTATTCATCATACAGTGATGTATTCAAACATTAATGTATTCATACAGTGATGTATTCATCATTCAGTAATGTATTTATCATACAGTGATGCATTCATCAAACAGTAATGTATTCATACAGTGATGTATTCATCATTGAGTAATGTATTCATCATACAGTGATGCATTCATCAAACAGTAATGTATTCATACAGTAATGTATTCATCATACAGTGATGTATTCATCATTCAGTAATGTATTCATCATACAGTGATGTATTCATACAGTGATTCATTCATCATACAGTGATGCATTCATCATACAGTGATGCATTCATCATACAGTGATGCATTCATCATACAGTAATGTATTCATCATACAGTGATGTATTCATCATTCAGTAATGTATTCATCATACAGTGATGTATTTATCATACAGTGATGTATTTATACAGTGATGTATCATCATACAGTTGTAGGTGTGATGGAAGAAATGAATAAAAGAAGGTAGGATGATAAACTGGTAAATATATTCTACATTGAAACAAGAGGACCACAAAGCATGCAAAGGCGGGGATGTAATCAAGAAACTTGTCTAAAAATGGTTTTATCTAAATTATCCTTGTAATACCAGATAACCTATATGTGGAGGCATTTTGCACCCTAAGTGCATGATTCATAGAACTTTATAGAGGTCTACTAGGCGATGCTTTATGCCAAGTATAGAGTCATAGTTGTTATCCACAAAAACATTAAATGTGTTTTCCTGTACTTTAGGTGGCTCCTGTTGCAGGGCCAATTTTAACCCTAGAGTTATGATTAATATTTCTTTAAAAGAAAACTACAAATTGGTGCAACATGCCAAATATCAAAGCTCTGGGCATTGTAGTTTCACACTATAAGACTCAAGTAAGTTTTCCTATGGAAGTCTATATAAAATATGTGAACCCCTGGGGTTGGACCAATATTGACTCCAGAATAAGTTTCACAAATTAAAACTTTAAGTCTATATAAATCTAGTAACCCCTGGGCATGGGTAACATCAGTTTTGTAAAGCACAAGATAAAGGCATGCTACATGTTAAGTATCTAAGCTCTAGACATTGTAGTTTCACACAATGAAACTTAAATGTATTTTCCTATACAAGTTTTTTATAAATCAAGTAATCCCCAGGACGGGGCTAATTTTGATATCAGGAACCTGTGTTCTGCACATTGTCTCATTATAGTAATATTTCTGCCAAAAAGTTTTCATTTCTTTCTATTGGTACAAAAGAGACAGAGCACACACACAATTTTGAAATTAATACATTGTGACTAAGTGTGACCTTGACCTAAGGAAGGTCAAAGTTGCACATCATCTCATGATAGTTAACATTTCTGCCAGGTATTTACAATTTCCTTCCACCAGTTCAAAATATACATACCAGACATGAAATTGCTAACAGGATGACCAGTGTGTTACAATATACGCCAAAATCTTTTCAAAGAGCATAACAAAATAAATGATAATAAAAGCTAAAAAACACATATTAAAATTACCTCTTCCTTTACAATGATTAAACATGACCTTTTGGTTGGCATGGATTCCATGACAGAGGTCAAAGATGACATAACATGATGAATAAACCATACAGTAGGGTCAAAGTTCAAGGACAAATAGTTCAAATACACAATCTTCCTGTACTGCTCCCCCTAGAATTTAAACAAACAAGTTGCTTCAGCATAGTGCTTTATTATATACCAATATAATGTATCAGATGACAAATTTAACCACATATATAACTTCAAATATTCATTTGGCATGTTTTCACTAAAATCTAGTACTTACCATTCTGCTATGTATACCAGTATATTTAAAGCCCCTAAACATAATTGTATTTGTTTCTGTATCAAAAATTTATTATCACTAGACATCATATGCAAAATATTAAGTTTTATAACACAATGTTTATATATAAGCCACTTTCATCATCCATGTCTTTTTATGCTTTAAGTACTATTATATGGAAATTTGGGCATGACCCCTAACTGATTATGATGTAAGCACACAGTAAGGTGACACACTACCGGAAACAGATAAAATGTTTTCAAATAGCTAACCAGGTTCACAGGTTAAGTTTTACTGATTTTACTAGGCTATGAGCTTGCGTGATGTCATATTATCCCGCCATCATTATTTATGTTATTCACCTTCCATAAATTAAATGTATAGGCTTTAGTATTGAAGCTTTAAACCTTTAAAAAGATAAAAGAGACTGGAAGTTTAATCACATTAATGCCATTTATTATAAATTTACCTATGGATTAAAACTGAGATTATATTTTGTAAGTTATAACTCACCACACCATATCTCAATCCGAACTCTTTGAGCAGACGGACAGAAGCAGACGATAGTGGTGATGTAGGGGGTGGGGCAATCAGTTCATTCTGTTGCCGATATGGTGACTCATAACTTATCAACTTCTCTAAAAGTTTTCTGTACTGTTTGTGCATTGACTTCATCTAGACAAAATTAAATTTTCACTTTTATACTTATGTTTATCTTAGTATTATGGTTGAACACCAGAAGAAAAATTATAAATAAAACTGCACAAACAGGTAAAATACATATAATTAACTTTATGATAGGTTGTCCTTTTTCTACAAATGAATGATAAAATAATATAAAAGTTATCATTTTTTCAAATTTTAGAAATGATTTTTTTATGCAATGATTCTTCAACCATATTTCATAATTCTTATGTAAAATTAAAGTAATAAATTTCGTTGTAGAACTGAAATAGTATTATCCTTGCTTTAAACATTCAGCTAAATAGTGCTTTAATATAATGTTTCCTGATTTTGATTGTTTTCACCTTGATAGATCTATCTGAAAGCTGTGGTAGAGAAAAATGCCAGAACTTGTTAAGAAGATCTGAAATGTTGGTTCTCTCCCTTTGTTGCCACTGATCATATCCTATACGATTCTGAAATATGTCACCATTTCATATTTATCTTGATTAACCTGCTCAATTTATGTAACTGATCCGTCAACATTTAAAGTTAGAACAAAATAACAAAATATACAATTAATAGCAAACTATTTCTGTTCATTATGAAATGTTTATTTTTCACACAACAATTATAATAAAATGTTGTTTAAAAAAAAATAAAAACATAGTGAAAAAAATCACAACTTTTTTTTTTATATTTCTAGGGGCTCACCTTCATTTTCTTAGTGCAAAGTGTTCAAATATGTACAATTTTCATCATCTTCACATTATTTCAATTATAGCATCTTATCACTTTTGTTAAAAAAGTGTTAAATCTTTCCAAAGTCAGAAGACTAGATGCCCAAGGGTAACATGTCAAGCCTACTGTCACATGTGAACTTGAGCTGTCACCCAGTCAAACGGTTGTTTGCGAAAAATGCTGTCTCATGATGAACATTTGTGCTAGGTCATTAGAAATTCCACCAGCTAGTGATAGAGTAATGGTGCGTACAAGCTGTTCCAGACCATTTTTTTTTGCATTTGACCTTAAAGTATGATCTTGCCTTAGTGACAAGGTTCTTACACATGAGACAACGTCTCATTATTGTGAACATTTGTGCTAAGTTATTTAAAATTCTGCCTACTTATGACAGAGTTACCACTTGGAAAAGCATAATTGGAGGGACGGACAAACACACGTACATACACCTAATTACCACTGTGACGACTATGTTGAGCTCTCCTCAAGCAGGCTCGACAAAATATGAATCATAATAGACAGGTTATTTTCAACAGAGACATATAGTTATAAAATTATCAAGATTAAGTATGAACATACCAAGAAAGTTTTAGGATTATAATACTGGTTCTCATTATTCTCTAGGGCAATCAGCTGACGTACAAGCTCTTCTGCTAAAATCTGGAAAAACAAACATGAAGTGTGTAAATCTTGTATCCCATAATAAAAACATGATGTGTGTATCTTGTATCCCATAATAAAAACATGATGTGTGTAAATCTTGTATCCCATAATAAAGACATAATGTGTGTATCTTGTATCCCATAATAAAGACATAATGTGTGTATCTTGTATCCCATAATAAAAACATGATGTGTGTAAATCTCTTGTCCCTTAAAGGTCATGATCATTTTGATGTTAAGATCACTAATTTACTGGTGCATTAGTTATTCCTTCATCATAACCTTAAGGTTACATGAATAATGGTAAAACCAATAAATGCTCTCTAATGTCCCATTGATATAGGTATACACAATATTACTCTGAGGAAAATCTATAAAACTTCAGTGACTGTGACCACAATGTCCTGAAATACCATCCTAAAGAAGAAGTCCATGAAAGATATTTTCAGTCAATAAAAGAAGATAGTGTGAGAAGATGGTAGGTACTGGTACATGAGATGTTAAAGGACAAACCATCAACTATTTGCTCCACTGAAATATTTAATATAAAATCAGATAAAAAGAATGACAACATTAAGATCATATTTAAACTACTTCAGCTGTATACTTTATTTGTGACTTTTGTGTGTCCATGAAAAACTGAAACTACAATTCTAACGCTATTGGAAATTTTTCTATATAAACAAAGAAGGCCTGAATCGTGCATTATTCTACAACAATGCACCTGCCGTTCTTATTATCTCCCTGTTTATTTTCACATTGAGGGCGCCATTTTGTTTGAAAAATCTGATAAATAAAAAACAATTTTTTGTCGAATTTTGATGTGAAAACTATCTAGAATGAAAGAAAATGGTCTAACTAAGAAAATGAATCCGAACACCAATATCTTTAATTCAGTCGTTAACGCTGTACAGACGTTTAAAGTGTTGTTTACGTGACATCACAATGTAGTGCCAAAACAATCGAATCAAAGTAAGCTATTTTAATGTCGCAAACAAGTTAAGTTTTACATTTATTTCACTTTTAATAATTTGTATTTTGCTTGAAAAATTATAGAGTAAAATAAAATAAACAAAGTGTTTTATCAATGTTTTCAAAATTCGTTATTCTCAAAATGTTTCTACATACGGTAGATTTTTTTTTCAACCCACTGGAACAGCCTTTAAAGAACGTTTCTATTGGAAACTCTGGGGCGAAAACAAATTTAACCACTACACATAAAGTCCAACTTTATATTATAATTATATTTTTTCTTGACGTGTTAGAATGGAAATAGATATTAATTCTTCCTGCATTATTGTATAATAATGCACGTTTTTCGTTCAAATGCTTTGTAATTAATCACTCAGGCCTATCGGCCTTCGTGATTATATTACTACGCATTTGAACTCAAACTGTGCATTATTCTATAACAATGCACTCAGAATTGATATCTATTTTCTTGGTATTATTTATTTTTTGTTAAGATTTTCTCTTATATTGTAAAGTTGTTTAATTTGCTTTAAATGGATATCTTCTTTCAAATTCTGAATTTGTGTCTACAATTATTTAAGTTACTCAGTTTGCTTTATATGGAGTTGTCAAGTTATTATTGTGTTTTATAGTGAAGTTTTTTAGTTTGATTTTGGTTGAGATTTTCTGTTAAAGTTTGAAATTATGTAAATTAATTTTTGTGGACAGTTAGCTTACTTACTTTTTGTGGAGATTTCCTTTCTAACTGTGAAGCTATGATCTCTTCATACTGATTAAATTTTTCTTGTGTGAGTCTGAAGGCACGTCTTAAAAGTTCGCACAAAGTTTCTGCGGGAACCATGGCAGTGTCTTCCTGTTCCTCGACCCCGCTGTCATTAAGTGAGAGAGGGGTCATGTTGCGATCATATTGTAAAACACCCATAGACTCCTTCCTAAAACAATAAATATTACAATAATTATTAAAATCAAAGTAAGCACCCGTCAGGGGCAAGTCGTTGTTTCTTTGAGCAATAAACTTTACACTCATTGCTCAGTACTGGTTGGTTCCAGGAACGGATTCGAAAGTGTGTCTATAAGCTTATAGCTTCCTACAAAATCGAACTAAAATAAATTCTGTATAAACCAAGCACCAATAAGAGCCACTGCCAAGTGATGGCCACACTCATTTTTTTCTTTTTCTTTTTCAAACAGATGTGAGGAAGAATATTGTAGTAAAGAATACTCATAGAAAACAAATTCAATAACATGACCTTCAAGGGCAAAGTCATTGTTGAATGAAGGTTGTAAACAATTTGGTTTACTTAAAGGTCTTGTCCAAAGATTTTTATGTCCAAGTATGAAGACAATCTGTTTATAAATAATAAAGTTATAGCCAATTTCAAACATTTGACCTTAAAAGTCAAGGTCATTTATGAATGAATGTCAAGTTCAGTATAGTCAACATGAAGGTCTTGTCCAAAATGTTGGTGTCGATGTGGACAGTCTATAAGGAAATAAAACAAGAGCAACTGCCAAGCAGGGGCTAGCACATGTGCAGAGGAAGAGTATTGAAGAAAAGAATACCCCTAGAACACATAATTTTCTTAAACAAAATATATTTCAAATTTCATATTTGACCTTCACAGTCTAGTTCATTCATAAATCAAGGTCACATTTGAATAAATCATCAAGTCAGTTTTGTCAAAAGCAAATTTCAATAATTTGACCTTTATGGTCAAGGTCAATTAAGGGTCAAGGTCATATCAGAATAATTCAACATACATGGTTTTGTCATTTGTGATTTTTTGTACAAGTATGAAATAAATTTGTAAAAAAAAATAACACAGTTATGACAATTTAAGTAAATTTCAATACTTTGATCTTGATGGACCAGGTCAATTTAAGGTCCAGGCCATAGAGACAGGATAAGGAAACGGCATAGGACGAGAAGATGACCCACTGCTTATGACAGTAAACGAGAATGATGTCTGTGCCAGAACAAAATACAGGGTTAGCAGACTGCAAAGGCTAAATAAACGGAAATTTTAATCAGGAAACATTACAGATATGCTGGACAGACATAGGATATCATCGTTATTTTGAAAATACATAGGTCAAAACCATGCTAAGAATATTCTGGATACAGAAGGATCAGATTTCACTGATCATAACCGTATAAATGGGTTTGTGTTTTGTTTTCTAAATAAAACACAGTTTATTGTATGTTTATGACTGGTAGATATCAACCATTAAAGCATAAAAGAAAAAAAAATCTCAAGTAGACAGTTTATTGTTACTCTTGGTTTATTTTTGTTACAGTTAGATTTAGTAGACAATTTCATATGATCACAGTATTTGTTCGGGGTAATAAAATAAATAACACAGGTAACAGTATTTTACTTGGGATGATATTTTTACTGTTACCAAAAAATTACCCACAAACCCATGTGTTATTTATATAATGTTTATTATTTATTATTATTACTTTTTTTTGAAAATTAACATATCTGAATTATTTATTAATGCATGTAGTGCTAGTAACTATTGTGAATTTAAAGTTTTAGTATTTCTATGACTATGTGTCGAAATTGGCCGATAGAGAAGATAAGTATGGTTCAATTTCCACTACCCACTATAATTGTTATGTGTCTTATAATTGAGAATAAACTCAAGGTTAAATGTTCAGAACATTCATATTTAAGGTTTATTTGCATTGAAACCAATACAAAATGATAATTATAAAGTTATGTTCCTGAGTTAGCGATCCTTCTTATAAGATTCTGTAAATGCCGTTTTTTCGGAAAAGATTAAGAGCAATGACATCCATAGACCGGAAATTTCTAGAAAAAGAAAGATATCTAAAAGACCAAGAGCAAGTGAAGACATCACATGTAGGTCTGACATCGTAAAATTGATTTAAATCAAGTAGAAAATGGTGATTTTTGTCAATATAAAAGGAAAACAGAAGAAGGTGTCGATATTACCCGAAGTTGCTCTTTAAACGAGTACAAAAATCGATATTTTATTTACTTTATATCTCAATAATTCAGGGCCATAACTCTATACAACCATTATTGATTTTAGGTTGTTAGCTTTTTATCTTTTCCATAAATATTAATCTTTAGAAAAATAAACTTATATGCTTAACATTCCAAATTTATGATTTATTCAACTTGTTTAATATATAAAACATGCCTTTTAGGATGAAATGATGAAAGTGCCCCAGATGGAATGGGTGTGGCTTCAGATGGCGGGTCTGGAGCCCCAAGTACAGGAAAGGCAGCACATTTGAGGGTGTGTTGGAAAACCTGGAACTCCTCGGCATTAAGGCATACGACTGTGTCAACATTTCCTACACTAGACTTCATCATAGCCCCTTCCTCTATACCACTGTCTCTACCATCACTTCTCACCTGTCAACATGTATATAATCAATTAATATTATGTGTTACTTAAGAAATAATATATCCCAAACTGTGATTTTATCGCTCAATAACATCACTGTTTGGAGTTCGGATGCGAGGAATTATATCACGAGGGCGTAGCCCGAGTGATATAATGATGCGCATCCGAACGACAAACAGTGATGTTATCCAGTGATAAAATCACCGATTTGGATATATTATTTCGATTCTAACACGACATAAACAAATAAATGTTGCCGTACCTGCTATTAAGCAAATTTGCGCCTGATTTGTTTCCGTACTTATTGTCAGCGCGTCGGATTTTATAGTGGTTACGTCACATGTATAATGATTACGTCACATGTCTAAATATAGAACATCAAACAGTGACTCTATTGCATAATAACACACACTTTCGGTTCTTCTATGTTCAATAGGGAAAAATGCGGGTCGTGTTAGAATTGAATATATTCTTCTTGTAATAAGAGAATAACAATGTTTTCTACATCAAAGAAGGCTAACTAGTGTGTGTATAAAATATATAATTGTGTTGTTTTTTTTATAGCAAATTTCCATTTTCAAATGCCATTACCTAAAAAAATAGTTAAAACTGCAATAATGACTTTATACTTGAATAACTTTTTATTTGGCAGCTCTCTTTTACTTACATCTTATTCCAGCGCTTCTTTGAAAACAATTCTAAGTTGCTTAAGTTTTTTATGAACTTGTAACAATTATTGTTATTATAAATATGTCATACAAGTTGCTGATATACGGGAGAACATAACCTTGCTGACATAGAAATAACCCTTCCTGTTAGAAACAGATTTATTTTATAAGTCATTTGATTGTTTGTTTGATATCAAGATATATTTAATGCTCTTTTATGCAATGTCAGATGTTTAAGTCAACGTCATGAGTTTTTTGTTGTTATTGTGAATTTCGTCAATTTAAATTCTAGAACTTTATGTATTGAGACAAGTCCAAATCAAAAATTGTCCTGGAACTTTTTTGTTCTACTAATTTCAATTTAATGTAAATGAGTATGTGCCTTTATCTTTCTCTAATAATTATTTGTTACATTTGTACTGTACATGAAATGATAAACATAAAAACATTCACAATCAGGAAAAAAATAACACAGTTTTTGAGGCCTCAAACAGTGAAAAAATGCCCTATTTAGGCCCCAAACACTGTTTTTCGTTTGAGAAATGTTGGTAAAAAAAGTGACTACCGTCAAAATGTTTCATCAGGGGGTTGCCGTTTTGGGGGTTTGTAGGGGGCTGTAGTCCCCCTCATCTCCAAGAAAATTTTGGACATGTGACAGGCTAAAAATGGTCTCAGGTTGATCTTAGGGTAACTAGTAACCGACGCTAAAAAGCCTTTTTCTCTATCTCAATTTATTGAAAAATTGCTTTGTAACACTTTGAAATCAGTTTTGATGGAAGAAAACAATGCAAAATAGTGATTTTTGTCAATTTTGAGACGTCCCCCCGTTGCCATGGTAACATGAAATTTACAATTGAGCATACTATTACAGACGCTATGGTCTAGTCAACATTTGTGCCAAGTTTCATTAGTATTAAAGCATTTTTCATAGTTTCATAGCAGTTTGAACTTGTTTTAGGAGGCTTTTCAATGAAAACAGCAAAAGTTTGAAGTTTTATACATTTAAGTTTAAATCTAATGTAAATAATCTATAAACAATTTCATTTATTTGTTAAACTAAACATACCAATTTTGACTTGTCAATGTCATCATAATACAGTGGACTGCAAAATTTCTGTCTTTGATTAATATAAAAATTGATCATTTTAATACCATCAAATGTTAGAACAAGTACAGGCAGTGTAAATTCACCGTTATTCTACCAATGTTCCACAATCAACTACAATTAATTCACAAAATTGTCGTACAATCAAATGTAATTAAGATGACACATACCAGTCTGACACTGAAAAATCTTTGTTTACATGCTGCTAGCAAAAGACAACATTTTCTTTGTCTGAAAAAATAAACAATAACATAAATGAAAGAAATCAGTTTTTAATAGCAGCTTTTCTGCTATTAAGATTAATAAGAACTAAAATAGGCCTCCCTACCCACAGAGTATAGGGACAAGGGTGTCACAGCTGAAGACAAATGCACCAGGAAGGTATAACATATATATTCCATTTGCTGATGATATATTTATTGAAGGAAACATACGTGTAAAAATTTTACCTTCCTTATCTAGTACATTTGTTTTATAATTGTTTATGCAGCCCAAGGGTTTGTTTGTTTGTTTCATTTTACGCCTTTTCCCAACAGTATTTCAGTCATATAGGCGGGTAGTTTCCTAACCATCGTTCCTGGAGAGTAAATACACCAGACTACTAGAGTACCATCCTCCATGCTAAACTACCAAAGCATTTCCCGGGGATCAAACCCACGCCAGAGAGGTAACTGGATTAGAAGTCATCAACTCTAACCCCTTGACCACGGAGGCGGTCCAAGGGTTTGTTACTGTTAGGTAGAAAACAATAGGTTATGTATTCCATACAAACAATGCCTGTATTTTAGCATTACAAAATTTAATGCACTTGATTTATTCTGAGTCATTGCTGTTATTGTGGAAACATTACCTAGACTACATAGGTGCTGTATAAAGCTATTCATTTCTGGCTAACAAAACTATTATACAATAAAATATATTAATTTCTTCAGTTTAAACAGTCATTTATTTTTAAGCTCAGTTGAGTAAAGTTTATTTGAACCAGTCTCTTTGGTCACCTTCCTGGAGTTAACCAGTACAGGACCTCTGCTGCAATTTACTGGTAAGGTTGTGGCCCAAATAAGGCTCAAACTCAATATTAACCCTTTAATCTGCTGAATTTGTGTAATGGATTTGCCCTGCTTTAAATTTAGAACATTTTGAAACTTAAAGGATTTCAATATTAAAATATAACAAGAGCAATTAGTGATCACATGTGTCACCAATTAAGCAGTCATATTACCCTTTAATAATTTTTGTTTTTAAAGTTTTTTTCGGGACTTCTTCACTTAAACTACTGTTGTAACTAATGTGAAACTTTACAAAATGGATTGATACCTCAATTACTTGCACATAATTAATGGGTTTTCCAGTTAAATGACTTTTGGCTGAGTTAAGGCCCTTGAATAAAAACAGCATTATGGCCTGTTAATGATTTTGTGTCTCCTGCTACTCAGTAGTTGCAAAATAGTCACAACATATAGAGAACAAACTGCTCAACCACCCCTCAATACAACTGCTTCATTGGCTATCATCAGGTGACACATGTGATCACTGTTTGCTCTTGTTCTTTCATATCATTTGTTCCATTACCATAGAGTCCGGCCAGACTGCACACTGTAAGGTGGTCTGGCTCTTTTCTGGTGGCAAATGTTAATTACTTGTTAAAACCTTGAATCAAATTTAACTACATGCACTTACTCTAGACTCATAAAGTAGGTGTGGATATTTCTTGTTGATGTTCCATGCCTGTAATAAAAAGAACAATCACAATTTGTATACTGATACTAGTTAAAACAAGAGCCATGTCAACAACATGGCCATCCCCCGCCACATGTGTTTGCTCATTGGAAGAATGTATATGTAGTAGAGCAGAATAATTCAATTTTAAGAGGTCTTTTGGTAATGAAAACTGATAACAGATCTCAAACCTAGGTGAATACTGTTGGCTGAAAATAACAAAGGGCAATAACTGAAAAATAATGCAGGGTAGGTTATCATTCTTGTGTGCTGCACCCCTCCTCAGTAAGATCTATCCACCTATGAAGTTTCAAGTTGATACCTCAAACACTTTTTGAGATAAACTCCGGACAAAATAGCATGAAAAAGAATTTTGAGTTCTGCTCCACTCATGAGAAAAATTAAGTATGAAAAATAACAAGGGGCAATAACTCAAAAAATATGAAAGGTAGAGTTATCATTCTTGTGCACTGCACACCTCCTGAGTGAGATCTATGCACCTATGATGTTTCATGTTGATATCTTAAAGGCTTTTTGAGTTATGCTCTGGAAAAAAAATAAAAGGGCAATAACTTAAACATTATGCAGGGTAGAGTTATCATTCTTGTGCACTGCACTCCTCCTAAATGAGATCCATCCACCTATTAAGTTTCAAGTTGATACCTCAAACACTTTTTGAGATAAGCTCCAGACAAAATAGTATCAAAAATAACAAAGGGCAATAGCTCAAAAATTATATAGGGAAGAGTTATCATTCTTGCACACAGCATTCCTCCTCAATAAGATCTATCCACTTATGACGTTTCATGTTGACATCTCAAACACTTTTTGAGTTATGCTCCACTCAGGTAAAAAATTAAGTAAGAAAAATAACAAAGGGCAATAACTCAAAAATAATGAAAGGTAGAGTTATCATTCTTGTGCACTGCACACCTCCTGAGTGAGATCTATGCACCTATGGAGTTTCATGTTGATATCTCAAAGGCTTTTTGGGCTATGCTCTGGACAAACATTAATTTTAAACAAGAGGGCCATGATGGCCCTAGATCCCTCACCTGACCCATCGAACTCATCCGAATAACTACCTAGACAAGCATTCTGACCAAGTTTCATGACAGGTGAGTCAAAAATGTGACCACTAGAGTGTTAACAAGGATTATCCATATTTGAGCAGTGTGACATAGTTTTTTACCCAGGTGACCCATATTCGATCTTGACCTAGAAATCATCAAAACAAACTTTCAGACCAATTTCCAGGATACTTTGATCAAAACAGTAGCCACTAGAAGGTTAACAAGATTATTCTATTTTTAGCTCCGGTGACCTAGTTTTTCATCCGAGATGACCCATGTTCATCTCATCTGATCAATTACCTAGACAAGCATCCTGACCAAGTTTGATGATAATTGAGTCAAAAATGTGACCACTGGAGTGTAAACAAGGTTTTTCTATTTTTAGTTCCAATGACCTAGTTTTTCTTCCGAGATGACCCATGTTGAAACTCATTTGAGCTATCACCTTGACAAACAACCTGACCAAGTTTGATGATGATTGAGACAAAAATGTGAACGCTAGAGTGTTAACAAGGTTTTTCTATTTTTAGCTCTGGTGACCTAGTTTTTCATCCAGGATGACCCATGTTCGAACTCATCGGAGCTATCACCTAGACAAGCACCTGACCAAGTTTGATGATGATTGAGGCAAAAATGTGACCACTAGTGTTAACAAGGTATTTCTATTTTTAGCTCCAGTGACTAGTTTTTCAACCAAGATGACCCATGTTCGATCTCATCCCAGCTATCACCTAGACAAGCATCCTGACAAAGTTTGAAGATGATTGAGGCAAAAATGTGACTGCTAGAGTGTTCAAAAGGTTTTTCTATTTTTAGCTCCTGTGACCTACTTTTTCATCCAAGATGACCAATGTTCGAACTCATCCGAACTATCAACTAGATAAGCTATCTGACAATCTTTGATGATGATTGGGGCAAAAATGTGACCGCTAAGTGTTAACGAACAAGTGTGGACGGAAGACAGACGACGGACGTCCCTAAAAGTTAACCCTGAGCAAGCTCAGGTGAGCTAAAAAAAAACAAAGGGCAGTAACCCAAAAATTATGCAGGGTAGAGTTATCATTCTTGAGCACTGCACTCCTCCATAATGAGGTCTATCCACCTATGAAGTTTCAAGTTGATACCTCAAACACTTTTTGAGATATGCTCTGGACAAAAATGTCAGACGGAAGGAGGGACGGACAGAAGAACGGACAAAGTCTATTTCTATATCCCATGCCGCCTTTTTGGCAGGGGGATAAAAAATAAGCAATGAAGAAAATATAATTGACAACAAATTATTTCTAATACAGCATACTTGTAATGTTAATAATCATTGGATAACTTTGATGTTTATATAATCTATATAGTAAAACAGATGCATTAATTTTGCTGTGGACTTATGAATTACATAATTATTCTATCCTACAAATAATTTTTTGCCCATTCAGTGACAAATTCAATTGAATCTATGCAACCTGATTTCTTTTGTATTTATTTTCTAATTTGCCTGCTCAGACGAAATCAATTATTTATTCTCTTTAAAAGCTATTAAGCATGATTAACACAAGACATAATTAGCACTGGCCTATTGCATTGCTTTAATTACATCAAAAAGTACAGGAATAAATTCAAATATAAATCATGAAATGAATTTTGCCTCTTCTCATTCCATACTTGAATGAAAGCATTACCAGTTAAATATAACAGAAAATATATTTCAATCGAGATGAGTTTCTTTTTCTTTACAATAATAACCTGATATGACACCAGTTTACTCAATCAAATTGTAAGGGTGGGAGGGATGGGATGGGAAAATAGACATGTGAATCAAGCAATGCAATTACCTTGAGTGATTTGAAACACCTTTTGATACTTTATATAGAAATCTGATACGCTTAGTTGATGCACGAAAATCTCACAAAAAACACAATCTTTACACAGTTACTATATATTACAGCATAACTTTATAGCTCTACCAAGAATAAATACATAGATAAATAATCTAACAATTTCTCAAGGGGTTATTAAATGGGGTATGTATAACAGGATTACATAACTAGAAGGGTTATTGTCACAAAAACATATGTCTCCCCAAACTAAGTATGGTCACTCATGTGAAGTTTCATTGAAATCCCACCAGCAGCTTGACCTGTGAAAGCCGGAAAAGATTTTTCTATTTATAGCTCTGATGGCCATTTTGTGCAGCGAAGCAGAACATGCCGGTATATTGTGCACAACTAGGCATGGTACTGATCACTCCTGTAAAGTTTGGTTGAAATCCCACCAGTAGTTTGACCTGTGAAGGCCGGACAAGATTTTCTATCTTAAGCTCTTGCAGCCATTTTGTGCAGCGAAGCTGAACTTGCCCCTGATGTGCACAACAAGGGATGGTACTGATCACTCCTGTAAAATTTGGTTGAAATCCCAGCAGTAGTTTGACCTGTGAAGGCCGGCCAATATTTTTCTATTTTTAGCTCAGGTGGCCATTTTGTGCAGTGTATCACAACATGTCCGTGACGTGCACAATTAGGGATGGTACTGATCACTCCTGTAAAGTTTGGTTGAAATCCCAGCAGTAGTTTGACCTGTGAAGGCCAGACAATATTTTTCTATTTTTAGCTCTGGCAGCCATTTTGTGCAGTGAAGCGGAACGTGTCGGTAATGTGCACAACTAGGGATAGTACTGATCACTCCTGTAAAGTTTGGTGGAAATCCCACAAGAAGTTTGACCTGTGAAGGCCAGACAAGATTTTTCTATTTTCAGCTCTGGCAGCCAAGCAGAATGTGCAAGTGACGTGCACAACTAGGGATGGTACTGATCACTCCTGTAAAGTTTGGTTGAAATCCCACCAGTAGTTTTACCTGTGAAGGGCGGACTATGTAAACTTACGAAATGGTACTTATGTGACTTTTCCTTTGATCTTTTTAGCCATTTTTAGTCACACAAGGCTTTAAAAAGACACACATTAGTAAATACGGAATGAATAGAATCAAAGAGAATTTACCATTACCCATTGTTCTCCAAGTCACACAAGTACCTCTGGGTTTGTACGGAACACCTGACAGACGGACAGACAGACAATGAAGGCAAAAACAATATGTCTCCCAAAAATTTTGGGAGACATAAATATATAACATAATTATATCTTATTGTACAGTAACAATAATTAATCACTTACAACTGCGGATCTGATTTTATCTAATTCTCTTTACTAAACATTTACAGCTAGCCTACTTGAGAGATATTACAAAATGTACATGTACCATAATGTACCATATTGACAAACAGATGATTTAAAGCAACATGTCTCTTGGATTTGTAAAAATTTTATGAAATTTTAAAATAAATAACTGTTTTGTAAAAATTATGTAACGTGTAGAATAGTAGAAAAGTAACACTTGTTAACAGTCCAGGCTTGAAAGATACTGTTTATATAGTAACCCTACAGCTGATATTCTAGTCCGTGATGTCAGCCAGCATTTTATTAGCATTTGAAAAGTAATATTTTCATTTAGTTTTTATCCAGCAATCATTCATAAAAACATGCCAGAATTTCATCATTCTATAGAACACAACTCATCTTACACAGGGGTGTATTTAAATTAGTGAGCTTCTATTTAACAAATTTAAATCTTTATTCCCTGTTACATAGTTTGAATTTGGGACAAGCCATTGTAAATTTCAATATCACAACAATGTAACTGCACAGTATGGTCTGGTCAGACTAATTATTACATGCCTGGCTCTATACTAGAAGTACAGGCAACTTGTTATATCACCACAACAGGTATGCCTGGCTTTATACAGGTGGTACAGGTAACTTGTTATATCACCAAAACAGGTAAGTCTGGCTCTATACTGGTGGTACAGGCAACTTGTTATATCACCACAACAGGTATGCCTGGCTTTATACTGGTGGTACAGGTAACTTGTTATATCACCACAACAGGTATGTCTGGCTCTATACTAGAAGTACAGGCAACTTGTTATATCACCACAACAGGTTTGTCTGGCTCTATACTGGTGGTACAGGCAACTTGTTATATCACCACAACAGGTATGCCTGGCTTTATACTGGTGGTACAGGTAACTTGTTATATCACCACAACAGGTTTGTCGCGCTCTATACTGGTGGTACAGGCAACTTGTTATATCACCACAACAGGTATGTCTGGCTCTATACTGGTGGTACAGGCAACTTGTTATATCACCACAACAGGTATGTCTGGCTTTATACTGGTGGTACAGGTAACTTGTTATATCACCAAAACAGGTATGTCTGGCTCTATACTGGTGGTACAGGCAACTTGTTATATCACCACAACAGGTATGTCTGGCTCTATACTGGTGGTACAGGCAACTTGTTATATCACCACAACAGGTATGCCTGGCTCTATACTGGTGGTACAGGCAACTTGTTATATCACCACAACAGGTATGTCTGGCTCTATACTGGTGGTAAAGGCAACTTATTATATCACCACAACAGGTATGTCTGGCTCTATACTGGTGGTAAAGGCAACTTGTTATATCACCACAACAGGTATGCCTGGCTCTACACTGGTGGTAAAGGCAACTTGTTATATCACCAAAACAGGTATGCCTGGCTCTATACTGGTGGTAGAGACAACTTGTTGTATCACCACAACAGGTTTGTCTGGCTCTATACTGGTGGTACAGGCAACTTGTTATATCACCACAACAGGTCAGGGTTCGAATTTAAGCTGGCATACTGGCAAAATGCCAGTTAAAATCTAATAATGCCAGTAAAAATTACTCTAGCTGGCATTTAATTGCAAGTTATTGTTCATTTAGGACGTTTACATAATTGTTATCTTCTGAGCTGATGATGATGCTTGGCAACTGCCCGCTGCAGAAACTGATGATGTTTACTGTGCCAGATGCAGTAACTGATGATGTTTACTGTAACAACTTAAAAATCAATTTTTTTGGTTGCTCTACTGCAGTATTTATTTTTTTCTGTGACTATATTTTGATGGACTATTTATAACAGCCAAACATATGTTGTTTTATCAGTGTCCAATGTAAATGTGTAGCACTCCTCTGTAAAGTGTTTACTTTTAAGCTGAAATATTTATTTAAGAAGATCAGTACCTCTGAGTTTTCAGGATGTTGGTGAAATCAAGTACAAAATATGCTAAAATTAATGAAGGTCCTAAGAAATAACATTACATGAACAAGTTTATAACTGTACATTGTCATCGGTGGGTGTTCCTCTGGTATACCTAATCTGGTCCGTAAACAATTGTTTATCATTTATAAATTAATGTGTTAAATTGTTCTTGTTTCGTTACAAGAAGAGATCTGTGTTTATTAGTGATAAAGGTGTTTCTGATATTCAATAGACATTCGAGCTTATTATCATTTGTCATACCATATGTTCAAAATACATTGTCATTGTGTATTACGATATTAATAATAAGATATGTGATCATGGAAATGCCGGTTGACTACATCATATTGCCATTTACTCATATGATCACTTGCAAAAATCTGCAAGTAGAAATTACTGCTAAATTCTAACCCTGCAGGTATGTCTGGCTCTATACTGGTGGTACAGGTAACCTGTTATATCACCACAACAGGTATGTCTGACTCTATACTAGTGGTACAGGTAACCTGTTATATCACCACAACAGGTATGTCTGACTCTATACTGGTGGTACAGGCAACTTGTTATATCACCACAACAGGTATGTCTGGCTCTATACTGGTGGTACAGGCAACTTGTTATATCACCACAACAGGTATGCCTGGCTCTATACTGGTGGTACAGGCAACTTGTTATATCACCACAACAGGTATGTCTGACTCTATACTAGTGGTACAGGTAACCTGTTATATCACCACAACAGGTATGTCTGACTCTATATACTAGTGGTACAGGAAACTTGTTATATCACCACAACAGGTATGCCTGGCTCTATACTGGTGGTACAGGCAACTTGTTATATCACCACAACAGGTATGTCTGACTCTATACTAGTGGTACAGGTAACCTGTTATATCACCACAACAGGTATGTCTGACTCTATACTAGTGGTACAGGAAACTTGTTATATCACCACAACAGGTATGTTTGGCTCTATACTGGTGGTACAGGCAACTTGTTATATCACCACAACAGGTATGTCTGGCTCTATACTAGAAGTACAGGCAACTTGTTATATCACCACAAACAGGTTTGTCTGGCTCTATACTGGTGGTACAGGCAACTTGTTATATCACCACAACAGGTATGTCTGGCTCTATACTGGTGGTACAGGCAACTTGTTATATCAACACAACATGTATGTTGGCTCTATACTGGTGGTACAGGCAACTTGTTATATCACCACAACAGGTATGTCTGGCTCTATACTGGTGGTACAGGCAACTTGTTATATCACCACAACAGGTATGCCTGGCTCTATACTGGTGGTACAGGTAACTTGTTATATCACCACAACAGGTTTGTCTGGCTCTATACTGGTGGTACAGGCAACTTGTTATATCACCACAACAGGTATGCCTGGCTCTATACTGGTGGTACAGGCAACTTGTTATATCACCACAACAGGTATGTCTGGCTCTATACTGGTGGTACAGGCAACTTGTTATATCACCACAACAGGTATGCCTGGCTCTATACTGGTGGTACAGGCAACTTGTTATATCACCACAAACAGGTATGCCTGGCTCTATACTGGTGGTACAGGCAACTTGTTATATCAACACAACAGGTATGTCTGGCTCTATACTGGTGGTACAGGCAACTTGTTATATCACCACAACAGGTTTGTCTGGCTCTATACTGGTGGTACAGGCAACTTGTTATATCACCACAACAGGTATGTCTGGCTCTATACTGGTGGTACAGGCAACTTGTTATATCAACACAACAGGTATGTCTGGCTCTAATACTGGTGGCACAGGCAACTTGTTATATCACCACAACAGGTTTGTCTGGCTCTATACTGGTGGTACAGGCAACTTGTTATATCACCACAACAGGTATGTCTGGCTCTATACTGGTGGTACAGAGGCAACTTGTTATATCACCACAACAGGTTTGTCTGGCTCTATACTGGTGGTACAGATAACTTGTTATATCAACACAACAGGTATGTCTGGCTCTATACTGGTGGTACAGGCAACTTGTTATATCACCACAACAGGTATGTCTGGCTCTATACTGGTGGTACAGGCAACTTGTTATATCACCACAACAGGTATGTCTGGCTCTATACTGGTGGTACAGGTAACTTGTTATATCACCACAACAGGTTTGTCTGGCTCTATACTGGTGGTAAAGGCAACTTATTATATCACCACAACAGGTATGCCTGGCTCTATACTGGTGGTACAGGCAACTTGTTATATCACCAAAACAGGTATGCCTCGCTCTATACTTATGGCACAGGTGTTATATTACAAAAGGGTTTAAACAACAAAGTACTTACTGAAGTATACTCATGCCAATATCATTTGATTCCTGGTCTATACTCTCCTCCCTTTCATCAGTTATCCCCCCTTGTGACCACACCCTAGACTCTGTCTCCGTGGTGACATGAATGATCCTCTCAGGCTGTAATGTGGTACTGTCTGACATAGCAATATCCTATAATAATATATTCAAAGTTTTCATTTAAAACAGAAATATTTCCCATTTAAGTTTTGTTTTAAAAAAAAAAATTATAAAAAAAGGTTATCAAAATTTAACTCTACAATTTTTATGGTTAAAATGATAAACAATTTTACAATGTTGAGAGCCTTTCTATAAGTTTGAAAGCCCAACAGAGACTTGATACTTTCATGAAAGTAAGCTATCCAGTTAGCTAAGAGAATCAGTTTCAACCTATTTCCTTCAGCAATTTTTTTAGGTACCAACTTAACAAAAGTCTGATGCTCGCTGGGTGAGTGAATAGCTCGCTCTCCCTATTCTTTGAATAGTGGAGCTAAAAATAGAAATAAACTGATAAATCCATACTGCTTGAAATGACAACCTTTTTATTGTAGTGTTTTTAACATTATCCATCTAGTAATTGTCTATTTATTTCCATAATGCATAAAATAAACTTAGTAAGTTATTGTAATCAAGTCAATCTGCAGATAACAGACATGTTACTAAACACTGACAGTCACAATTAATTTATATCATTATTGAAGATAAAGCAGCACAAAAAACTGAGTAAAAGTAAACAAGATAAGTATCTGATAATATATACAACTACAACTCAAATTTGCTAGTCCTTTCATTATCTCTTAACATCAATATTGACAAATTTCTCCTTTTACTACCTAAACAATTAATTATTTTTATATGTTCAGAGTAATAGCAAGTTGCAGATTGTTCGCTCTGTGAGTGTAGAGACCCTGGTTCCATTCCAGTGAGTGTAAAAGGCATTTTCTTCTATTAATTAATTTTTTATAGATATTTTTCAACTACATGTAATAAGATTTTAGTTCCTTGTGCACAAGACTATTTGAGAACATTGAGTTTTACACAGATTCGCATTCAACAGACTGGGTTAGAGTGAAGTTGATAATTAAGGATATAAATGACTAAATAAATTATAAGCAGTGGGAGAAAATTGACAAATACAAATGAGCCAAAATTGTTAAAAAATGTAGCGGATAGAATTCAGAGTTTCAAACAGAATAAAATTAATAATACTATTCAATCTGTTCAATGCCTGTTTAGAAATAAAATACATTACCCTTATAAGTTTACCTTTCTATTGTGCAAAAAATTAAATTAATTACAGGTATATAAAAGAGATAATGGAAACTTACATGACAAACTATAAACAAGAGGGCCATGATGGCCCTGAAGTCGCTCACCTGTAAATAGGCCCCCGGAACGGGGCAAGTTTAAACCCCAGGGCTTTTATTCGAACAAACTTGGTAGACACCCATTAGAAGATGTTTCATGCTAAACATCTAAGGTCTAGCTCCTTGGGTTTTTTAAAAGGAGATTTTTTCAATTTTTTTCTTTAAACATATAGTTAAAAACAATGACACACCTGGGGCAGGACCAGTTTTGACCCCAGGGCTTTTATTTGAACAATCTTTTTAGACACTTACTATAAATTGTCTCATGCTTAATATCTAAACTCTAGCTATTCGGGTTTTTTCAAAGAAGATTTTTAAGATTTTGCTATACACATATAAGGAAAATCAATGTCCCCTGGGGCCGACCAATTTTGACCCCAGGGCTTTTATTTGAACAAACTTGGTAGACACTCATTAGAAGTTGTTTCGTGCTTAATATCTAAACTCTAGCTATTTGAGTTTTTTCAAAGAAGATTTTTTAAGTTTTTGTTATAAACATATAAGGAAAATGAATGACCCCCGGGGCGGGGCCAATTTTGACCCCAGGGCTTTTATTTGAACAAACTTGGTAGACACTCACTAGAAGATGTTTCATGCTTAGTATCTAAACTCTAGCTATTTGTTTTTTTTCAAAAAAGATTTTTTAAGTTTTTGCTATACACATATAAGGAAAATCAATGACCCACGGGGCAGGGCCAATTTTGACCCCAGGGGCTTTTATTTGAACAAACTTGGTAGACACTCATTAGAAGATGTTTCATGCTAAATATCTTAGCTCTAGCTCTTTGGGTTCTTTAAAAGAAGATTTTTTAAGTTTTTACTATATGCATATAGGGAAAATCAAAGACCCCCTGGGGCGGGGCCAATTTTGACCAAAGGGCTTTTATTTGAACAAACTTGGTAGACACTCACTAGAAGATGTTTCATGCTTAATATCTTAACTCTAGCTATTTGGGTTTTTTCAAAGAAGATTTTTTAAGTTTTTGCTATACACATATAAGGAAAATCAATGACCCCTGGGGCAGGGCCTATTTTGACCCCAGGGCTTTTATTTGAACAAACTTGGAAGACACTCATTAGAACATGTTTCATGCTAAATATCTTAGCTCTAGCTCTTTGGGTTCTTTAAAAGAAGATTTTTTTAAGTTTTTACTATATGCATATAGGGAAAATCAATGACCCCCTGGGACGGGGCCAATTTTGACCCCAGGGCTTTTATTTGAACAAACTTGGTAGACACTCACTAGAAGATGTTTCATGCCAAATATCTAAGCTCTAGCTCTTTGGGTTTTCTAGAAGAAGATATTTAAAGTTTTTTCTTTTGGTTGCCATGGCAACCAGAGTTCTGCATGGAATTAAATTCTGTGAACAATTTTCAAAGGTGACCACCAAAGGAACATTCCTGTAAAGTTTGGATGAAATTTGCTTAGTGGTTTATGAGGAGATGTCATTTAAAGTAAAAGTTTACGGACGACGGACGGACGCCGGACGGACGCCGGACGAAAGCGATCACAAAAGCTCACCCTGTCACTTTGTGACAGGTGAGCTAAAAATATATACTGATCCAAAAATATATGCTCAATTGCAAAATTTTACTCGAAAATTTATTTTAATAGCCTTAGTGATTCATTACCTGAACTCTCTACCCACTATGGCACTTGGATTAGTGTGTTCATACCCACTTTAATTCTTCTATATCGCAATAAAAATGCAAAATGTAATAACTGAATTACTTGCTCAACCCATTTTATCATAATGGTACGACCAAATAATGTAAACGTTATCGTGTTTGACTTATATATTTAGATATAGAAATCAAAATAATGATATTAAAGAGATATTGTATATCTATAAACAAATGTATAATCAGGGTAAAGGCCAATGATATAGTAAATTTTATTAAACTAGAAATGTGTCATCATGCCACAGATGCCCCCGCATGCAGCCAAAATTTCAGATGTTATAATATTTAGTTCCAAATTTGTTTGCACAAATTATTTTTTTCATTTTAAGTTCAAAGCCCTTAAAACCATTTTCACACAATGTTCAAGGCACTGAAATTATTCAGTCTTAACCTTTTAAAAATAGCATATTGCATATTTGTAGCCAAAATAATGGCTACATACATTTCCACAAAAGTATGAGTGCTGAAACTGAAAGTTCAAAATTTTTCCAATGATGATTCAGGAAAGATAAGTTTGTCCAAAATCATTGAACCACGACCAAATTCAAACTTAAACTGCTTATTCCTAAGATGTATCTATATTATTTTCAAAGTGAAAGGAACATAACTCTGCCAAAAAATCATCAAACCATGACCAAATTCCAACTTGACCTGCCAATTCCTTTTACACATCCATATGTCAAATTTGAGTTGAATATGTAATACTCTTGGGTAGATAATGAACAGAAACTGAAAATTTCATATTATTTTCAAAGTAAAAGGGCCTTACTCTGCCAAAAATCATAGAACCATGACCAAATTCGAACTTGGCCTGGGCATTCCAAAAACAAATCCATATGTCAAATTTGAGTTGAATGTGTTGTACTGTTGGGGAGATAATAAATGGAAACTGAAAATTTCATATTATTTTCAAAGTGAAAGGGGCATTACTCTGCCAAAAATTATTGAACCATGACCAAATTTGAACTTGACCTGCGCATTCCTTTGACATATCCATATGTCAAGTTTGAGTTGAATCTGTTGTACTGTTGGGGAGATAATGAACGGAAACTGAAAATTTCATATTATTTTCAAAGTAAAAGAGGCATAACTCTGCCAAAAATCATAGAACCATGACCAAATTCGAACTTGACCTGTATTTTCTCATGACATATCCATATGTCAAGTTTGAGTTGAATGTGTTATATCGTTGGGGAGATAATAAATGGAAACTGAAAATTTCATATTATTTTCAATGTAAAAGGGGCATAACTCTGCCAAAAATCATCGAACCATGACCAAATTAGAACTTGACCTGTATTTTCTCATGACATATCCATATGTCAAGTTTGAGTTCAATGTGTTATATCGTTGGGGAGATAATGAACGGAAACTGAAAATTTCATATTATTTTCAATGTAAAAGGGGCATAACTCTGCCAAAAATCATCAAACCATGACCAAATTCGAACTTGACCTGTATTTTCTCATGACATATCCATATGTCAAATTTGAGTTGAATCTGTTGTACCGTTGGGGAGATAATGAACGGAAACTGAAAATTTCATATTTATTTTCAAAGTAAAAGGGGCATAACTCTGCCAAAAATCATCGAACCATGACCAAATTCGAACTTGACCTGTATTTTCTCATGACATATCTATATGTCAAGTTTGAGTTGAATGTGTTGTATCGTTGGGGAAATAATGAACGGAAACTGAAAATTTCATATTATTTTCAATGTAAAAGGGGCAAAACCTCTGCCAAAAATCATCGAACCATAACCAAATTCGATCTTGACCTGTATTTTCTCATAACATATCCATATGTCAAATTTGAGTTGAATGTTTGCAACCGTTCTTAAGATAATGAACGGAAACTGATGATGACGGAATGACATAAAGGACGGAATGACGGAACAGGGTAACACTATTATGCCCCGGCCATTACATGGCGGGGCCTAATAAATAAGTTAAAATGAATCACAATCATGTTCTATGTAGATGACATTATGACAATATAATATTATTCAAATTATATATATCAGTGCAGTTTAACCAGGCTCTATACTGTTGGTAGCTCAATTATTGTATATTGATATTGAAATCCATAAAACTTTGAATTTCCAAACTCAAGGCTGTATTCAGCATATAAAATCTCTATGCATAGGTTAAAGTTTATTAGTATTTGGCAGTATATATTTACAAAATTAAATTGGTCAGGCTATGCCGCACTTGACCAACTTAATTTTGTAAATACGTACTAATAAATTTTAACCAGCTTAGTGTTTAAAATTATTTTTATAAACAGTTAATTTACAAGACTGATTAATAGTTTGCTGATTTACAAAAGTAAATGTATTATGATTCATTTGAAATACTGCAATCCTATTAGACAAAAAATAATTTCCATCTTTAAATTGTTTTTATGTGTGCAAAACCAAACAAGAAACATGGCAATGCCATGAAACCAGGTTTTCAATTATCACCATTGTAGATAAATATGTTGTATTTGAAATACAAATACAAGCAACAAACAATGTAACCATGTGCAATGTAAAACATGAATAATGTAGGAGGAATTGCTCACAGAAGAAATGTTCACTATATATATTCTGTATAAGGAAAAAAAACAAAGGGCCACAATTAGGTAAAAAATTATCCAATCACAAAACCCGACAATATCTGCCAGGGCACTTGATGACAAAGCTTCTGTGAAAGTTTGAACAAAATCCGTTGAGAAATGTAGGAAGAGTTCAGCACAGAAGAATTTGTTCAATTCTGTATAAGGAAAAAAAACAAAGGGCCATAATTAGGTCAAATTTTATCCAATCACAAAACCCTGACAATATGCGCCAGGGCACTTGATGACAAAGCTTCTGTGAAAGTTTGGTCAAAATCCGTTGAGAAATTTAGGAGAAGTTGCGCACTGTAGAAATTGTTCACTATATATTCTGTATGAGGAAAAATATACAAAGGGCCATAATTCGGTCAAATATTATCCAATCACAAAACCCCGTCAATATACACCAGGGCACTTGATAACACAGCTTCTGAGAAAGTTTGGTCAAAATTCGTTGAGAAATGTAGGAGGAGATGCGCACAGAAGAAATTGTTCACTATATATTCTATATCAGGAAAAAAAACAAAGGGCCATAATTAGGTCAAATATATACCAATTGCAAAACCCTGACAATATGCGCCAGGGCACTTGATGACAAAGCTTCCAAAAAAAGTTTGGTCAAAATCCGTTGAGAAATGTAGGAGGAGTTGGGCACAGAAGAAATTGTTCACTATATATTCTATATAAGGAAAAAAAACAAAGGGCCATAATTAGGTCAAATATATACCAATTGCAAAACCCTGACAATATGCGCCAGGGCACTTGATGACAAAGCTTCTGAAAAAGTTTGGTCAAAATCCGTTGAGAAATGTAGGAGGTGTTGCGCACAGAAGAAATTGTTCACTATATATTCTATATAAGGAAAAAAAAACAAAGGGCCATAATTAGGTCAAATATTATCTAATCGCAAAACCCCGACAATATGCGCCAGGGCACTTGATGACAAAGCTTCTGTGAAAGTTTGGTCAAAATCCGTTGAGAAATGTAGGAGGAGTTGCGCACAGAAGAAATTGTTTACGCCCGCCCGCCCGTCTGCCCATCCGCCCGCCGACCTCCTCAATCTAATAACCAGTTTTTTCCTTCGGAAAACCTGGTTAACAATCTTTGTTTTCTCCATGGTTATATTAGCCCCTGAAATTTTAGCATATAATTATAAAGTCAGCATTGTTGTTTTAAGAGACTGTTCTGTGCAATCTTAGAGGAACCTAGCAACATCGGCAAGCTGAGAAATTTTATATGATATTCCATTCATTTTAATTTCACTTTAATATTCTTGATTTTCCCTGATCTATACTGAAAGTCAGTACATAGAATGAACAAGTACAGTCAGTGACAGGGCATTCATGACAACCTCTCTGAAATCAGAATCACTCTGATATATATCCATTAATGATAACACATGATTCTGTATTTGTGTAAAATAATATAATCCAAGACCGTATTAAGATACAAAAATTACAAACTTTCATCACATAAAATTCAATGACACAGTATCAAATGCAGTTGCAAAAGCAATTAAAAGTAGCACATAACAATTAAAAGTAACACATGATTCTGTATTTGTATAACATAATCTAATCAAAGTAATAACCTTGCAATGTTGTTCTTTTCAGTGTAAATTAATGCCAAAATTCATGACAGAGCTTTGTATTCTTGTCCAATTATTCATGACAGTAGGAGTGAATTATTTTACAGAAGCAAAATTTGAATTAGTTCATTAAAATAGTGAAATATTTTAACATAGAAAAGAAAAATGCATTGCTCACAGTTTTGGATGCAAATGCCCAGTGAGTAATAGCACTCCTAAGTACTTGAACAACTGAACTAATGAAAATCATGTCATATTTCATCAATTTAAAATGAAGTAAAATAAACTTCCCTGTAAAGAAAACAGTATCATTATTCAAAACAGGAAATTCAATAATGCAGTGCAGACCAAATTGTGCACTGTTTCATGTACATGTTTAGTTTGTAAGGTACATGTACAAAAATGTATGCCTTTAAAGTTTTCAGAAATGTCAAAGAATTAAGTTATATGTGCATGTTTTTGCCCTTTTTGTTGCAATGTAGTAACATTTTAGCCTGACATGTGATAGAACTCAGAATGATAAGGATAAAATATAATTTTATCTTTTGTGCCTATGCATCTGTAAAATGATTTTTCTAACTGTCAACCAAACTTTTTTCATAACAAAAAACTGTTTGTAGTTTCAAAAAAACCTTGAAATTTGATGAAATTTATAAAGACAGAGAAACAATCACATTTATGCAACCTGATGGTAGATTTCACATACAAACACAAATTTAATGAAATAAGCAAGAATGAAATAACCTCCCATCCAATAATATAATTTGTTAGAATTTACTTTCCACAGTCACTCTAGTTTGATGCAAGATTAATGCATAAATCTATTCATTTAATAAAAAAAGATTTCATTAATATTCATAAAGACAATCAAAAGACAATTCACGAACTAGGCTGTATTATAACTGTGTCTGTAAATCACTCATTGGATCAATATTGGACTATGGCTCTCCAGTTTGGAACCCATCAACAAAGTAACTTCATACAATTCTAGAAAATGTACAATGTAGAAGAACTAGATTTGTGCCTGGACTACAAAAATTGCACTATCAAGAAAGGCTCACGTGTTTAAATCTTCCAACACTACATATTTTGATATGATACAGTTATTCAAATTTGTCCAAACTGGTTATTAAGGAGTAGCTATCAACATGTTTTACCTTTCATGATAACATCACAAGAGTACAAATCTATCAGATAATTAAAGACAGACATAATAAGACCCAATTAGCCGATTGTTGTAAGCAGGTAAGACTAATACTGTAAGTATCATTAGTATAACAGTTTAATTACAAGTACTTAGTTGGGGACTACCAAAACCGGACAACCACCAAACCCGGACGGCCCCAAAAATGTCTAATTTAGTTGTTTATTTGTTCAGTTGTTGGCGATCTAACAGTCGGTTTTTTATCAACAATAAATGCATGTTGCTTCTATAAGTAAGTAATTAAATTTATTTCAACTTTATTTTGTATCATTTATTTTGATATTTGTCATATTTACATGGCAAACATCACTGATATATAGTTTTTACCTTTGGAATACACGGATATTTACAGACATGTCAAACAGGTTGAAGAATTAGGTCACGCCATTATATATTGATGCATTGTGAGAATTGCTCCGTTAGTCAAAGATTGGGAAGCCTGACCCATATTTATGCTAGATTTTTCAGTCATTTAGAATCAAAAATGTCTGTTTTAAAATGTCAGCATAAATTTAGGAACTTTCAACAGATAGTTAATGTACTTTTATTAAGAACACATAATTTATTTATAAGTTTATTTATAATCTACAAGGTCTGTCGGTACTGGAAACATGTTTTTGAATGCAAAAGATTTTCGTGACACTGTTGTAATTGTAAACAATCAGTAGCTAGTGCATTTTGCAAAAAAATCGAAAGATTTGTAAATAGATCGATACAATGAATAGCATGATACAATGGGGTTCCACTATATGCCGAGAGCACTCTAGACCGAATCCGGGTCAGCTCGGCCCTAAAACGTACTCGGCCCCCGAGTCAGCTCGGCCCTGTTCCAACTCGGCATGGGTCAACTCGGCCCACTTTTTAATTATTAATATTAAGGTTTGTGTTATCACTATTTATTGTTATTATTGTAATTATTTATAAAACACGGATTGACAGTTTCAGAACTAGCAGCAGACAGGCTTTTCTTATCAGTAGAATTGCGAGTAAAGATAACCGATTGCGTATCTCACTGTATTTCTGACTCGTGGTAGGTTTAACCGTAAATTTAAATACCTTCAGTGTCAAACAATGTGTTGAAATATATACTGAGAGGAAGCTAAGATCACCAGCTTTTAATTGGTGTAACAAATTTTAATATCGGACATTTAATCGCCCCAAACTAGCGATTTAAACACGGCTAAATTTGCATTCTTTTGCAAGCGTAGGGAAACTAATGGAAACAACTCTTGCTTTTTCACTCGATATATCTCGGTTATTTCGATTATTTACGTAGTCCGACAGAGAGAGAGTTTATAAAATTATAAGACAAATAACAATTTTTTTTCTAAATATAGGATACTTAATTTCGGCAGAAGTACAATGTATAATTATATAATGATAAGATATTTCTTATTATTCATTTACCTTAACAACATGCAAAGCAAAGTTAATACGTTATATATATTTTTGTAAAGTGGGCAGAGTTGACCCGTGCCGATTTGGTATAGGGCCGAGTTGACTCATTTCCCTCTAGACCTTATTCTATTACCTGACATGTAGCTGTCAGCTTGACTGTAATTCAAAATCGTCGAAAGTTACTACTTATATTGAATTTGCATGGGTTTTTCTTTCCCAAACATATAAATTATAACCACAAATTTGGTGTTTACATTTTCTTATTTCCGTGGTTGTTTTCCTCTTGTTTGACGCCATTTTGATCAGTCACATGATCGTTGATAAAATGCGAGTTTATATTTTCACGAAATGGTAGTTGATATCTTTCGCGAAAATATAGAATAATCTCATAAACAAGAGCCACCGCAGAAAGGCTTTTCTTTCTTTAACTTGATATAGGTCTGTCTACTGCAGTACTCCTTCTTGCATAAATCCTTTCCATAAATATATGACATATGATATATGCAGATGATGTAGTTCTTTTGTCTAGCAGTGAGAAAGGTCTACAAAGTTGTCTTAATAAACTATATTCAGTGAAAGTGTTGGATTGTCTGTAAACCTAAAGAAGACTAATATATTGACATTTAGCAAAAGTGGAAGGCTATCCAGTTTTAAGTATATATATAATAATGTAGAGGTAAATCATGTTTCGAAATATAAATATCTTGGAATACTATTTTCATCTTCGGGTAGTTTTACTGAGTGCAAAAAAGATTTGTATAAAAGGGCATTAAAAGCAAATTTTAAATTAGGCAAAGCTTTCAGTAATTTGAATACTAATGTTCATACCTCATTGCATTTGTTTGACCATACTGTTAAACCTGTACTACTTTATGCTAGTGAAATCTGGGGTACTTTGAGATACAACAACCAGTCGAGTTAATAAAGAGGGTTTTTGTCTATTTCAATGCTTTAATGACATTCCATGTGAAAAATTACATACAAAATTCCTAAAACATGTGTTAGGGGTTCACAAAAAAGCATGCAATGATGCTGTTTTAGGTGAATTAGGGAGATTTCCTTTATATTTTGATTGCATAATCAGTTGTATTAAGTATTATACAAGGTTAACCAAATCTCCAATTAGTGAACTTTTAAAAAATGCTTATGTTTAAAGTGAAAACTTGTACAATTGTAAAAAAAAAACAGTTGGTTATCCAATGTATTCTTCATACTAAAATATTTTAAAATACCTGAAAGTCAATATAGTGATAAGCATCTGTATGTTGTTGTTCGAAAACAACTGTTGAGCACTTTTAAAATTCGATTTATGGATAAATTAAAAAATGCTGTTGATAATGATGGAAAACTACGTACTTATGCACTGTTTAAAACAAATTTTTGTAGGGAACCTTATTTAGCAGTAATCAAAGATAAAAATATTAGAGCTTGTTTTACAAAGTTAAGGATAAGTTCTCACAAATTACAAATAGAGATTGGGAGATATAAAAAAATCAAGTCTGATAAAAGATTTTGCGAAGTTTGCAACTCAAATGAAGTTGAAGACGAGCTACATTTTGTTACTGCTTGCAATGCTTTTACTAGTCAACGCAGCATTTTATATAATGAAATAAAAGATAAGAATTTAAACTTTGAAAAAATGTCTGAAATAAGCAAATTCATTTGGTTAATGAGCAACGAAGATGAAAAAATCATAAAACAATTTGTAGATTTTATTTTTACTTGTTTTAAACTAAGAAATGATAATGAGAAAACATAAATTAATTTAACTTGGTATATATATATATTATATGTTATTTTGGTTTTGGAGTGATAAATGTGGATATATTACCTGTTAAGATTTTATATCACCCGAGCCGTCAGGCGAGGGTGATATTTTATCTTGGCAGGTAATATATCCACATATATCACTCCAAAACCAAAATAATAATTTTATTACCCATCCCCTGCCGAGTTTAGACAATTTTTTAAAAAATCATTGCTGCTTCAAATGAAACGTCGAAATAAGATTCCCTTTAGGATACCTCTTCGTCACAACATGACGTCACATAAATACATGACGTATTTTTCCCGTACCTTACGAAAGTAAACAAGAGAAAAGGAGTAGTCTATTGAACGCACTTTTTTTGTAATTAATATCAAGCTTTCACAAGGTCATATTTGTTTTCGATACTGATGGTAATATGTATCATTACTCTACTTTGGTAAATATTGATCATTTGACAGTTAAAAAGTGCTTTTAAATCGGAATTTACACCGCGTAAAATCGAACTGTACGCGCATCACCTCAGCGCATGTTGTTTACAACGTTGGGTACCAAAAGGGGAAATTTAGTGTGTATATTACCCGTCTGGCTCGGTTATATCAATTTCGTTCGGGTGATCAATATCCAATCAAAAAGGCGGAAAAAATCTGGAAGGGTAATAAATATAAATATTTTTTTATTTTTTTTTGAGAGAGACATGTGTATTGTACAGTTTTGTTACAAAACAGGTATACGCTATCTGTTTGTGTAAATTAAATGTTATACAAAGAATAAAAACAAAATGTAATTTTCAATTCATATATATATATATATGTAGTTATGATGTTTAATTATAGTTCGCGAAACCCTGTCATTTGCTGTGTTTGTTTGTTTTGTTTTTGTTTTTTCTTTAAGTTTATTGTTGTTACTATAATACAAATCAAGTTTTAGTTTCTTTAACGTCTTTATTTGATCTTTGATCTCATTATTATTATTGTGATTCACATGTCATTTAACATGACCCTTGATTGGAAATAAAAGTTATTCTATTCTATTCTATGACAATGTTAACAAAATAAAATAAAAAATCAAATGATTTGACGGTCAAGGTCATTCTAAGGTAAGTCATATCTGAATTATTCCACATGTCTGATTGGTCACAAGTGTTTTTTTTTGTCAACATATGATTCAAATCTATAGATAAATAACAAAAATATGACAACTTAACAAAAATTCAATACTTTGACCTTGACAGTCAAAGTCATGTAGAGCTTAAGATCAAGGTCAGTTCATCTTTTAAAAATTTCTAATCCAAAAGGTTGTTTTGTCCAAAAATGAAAAAAAATCCATTGATTAATTACAAAGTTACAGCCAATTATAGCAATAATCAGTGAAAAAAATGGGTCAAAGACAGAAAAGGCCGGGTTGCATATGTGTACAAAATATCATGAGGCTGTGGTGTTACTTAAATTTTCTACCACTGTCTGACCATTGATGTTGAAAATTTATCTTAGTTGGTAAACCTGAAAAGAATGAGCATCAGACCTGAAATGGAATCCCATAATATGGGACCACAGTCATGTCAATGCTGTGAACCACATATCAAGAGGCTGTGGTAAGAAGTTGTGAAAAAAAATGTTACGAAAATTTCCTACTATCTATTGATCATTAATTATGTCAAAATTTAACTAAATCGGCAAACAGGAAGTGTATGAGCGCTTGACCTGAAATCAAATCGCACAGTATGGGACCATGTGATAATGCTGCATACAAATAATCAAAAGGCTGTGATAAGAATTTGCTGCGTAAACTGTTACGAAAATTTCCAACCATTAACCAATAATGTAAAATTTTAACTAAGTCGGCAAACAGGAAGTGGATGAGCGACGGACCTGAAATCGAATCCCACGGTATGGGACCATGTGTTAATGCTGTATACCAAATATCAAAAGGCTGTGATATATAGTTGCCAAGAAAACTGTAACCAAAATTTCCTATTGTTGACCATTGATGTTGAAAATTTAACTAAGTCGGCAAGCAGGAAGCAGATGAGAGACAGACCTGAAATCGCATCCCACAGTATGGGACCATGTGTTGATGCTGTATACAAAATACCAAAAGGCTGTGATAAGAAATTGCCAAGAAAACTGTAACCAAAATTTCCTACTATTGACCATTAATGTAGAAAATTTAACAAAGTCGGCAAACAGGAAGTGGATGAGCGACAGACCTTAAATCGAATCCCACGATATGATACCATGTCCTGATGCTGTATACCAAATATCAAAAGGCTGTGATAAGGAGATGCTGAGAAAACTGTTACGAACATTTCTTACTATGGACCATTAATGTTGAAAATTTAACTAAGTCGGAAAACAGGAAGTAGATGAGCGACAGACCTGAAATCGAATCCCACAGTATGGGACCATGTGTGGATGCTGTATACGGAATATCAAAAGGCTGTGATAAGTAGTTGCTGAGAAAACTGTTACGAAAATTTCCTACTATTGCATGACCATTAATGTTGAAAATTTAACTAAGTCAGCAAACAGGAAGTAGATGAGCGACAGACCTAAAATCGAATCCCACAGTATGGGACCATGTGTTGATGCTGTACACCAAATATCAAAATGCTAAGATTAGTAGTTCCTGAGAAAAGTGTTACGAAAGTTTTTCCCCGCCCGCCGCCCGTCCGCCCGCCGCCCAACATTCACCATACTATAACCCGGGTTTGCACCAGTGCAACCCGGCCAATAAAACAATTTGACCTTCAAGGTCAAGGTCATACATGATCCAAGGTCAATTTGAGTTTGACCTACATAAAGGTTCTGATCTTAAAGATGTTGTTTGCAATATGAAGTTAATCCATTGATAAATAACACATTTATAGTCAATAATGAATCAAGAGAGCCATGATGGCACTGAAGTCGCTCACCTGTATATAGGCCCCCGGAGCGGGGCCAGTTTAAACCCCAGGGCTTTTATTCAAACAAACTTAATTGGTAGACACCCATTAGAAGATGTTTCATGCTTAACATCCAAGGTCTAGCTGGTCAAGTTTTTTTTTTACACATATAGTTAAAAACTATGACACACCTGGGGCAGGGCCAGTTTTGACCCAAGGGCTTTTATTTGAACAATCTTTGTAGACACTTACTAGAAAATGTTTCATGTTTAATATGTAAACTATAGCTATTCGGGTTTTTTCAAAGAAGATTTTTCAGTTTTCGCTATACACATATAAGGAAAATCAATGTTCCCCGGGGCGGGGCCAATTTTGACCCCAGGGCTTTTATTTGAACAAACTTTGTAGACACTCACTAGAAGATATTTCATGCCAAATATCTAAGCTCTAGCTCTTTGGTTTTTTAGAAGAAGATATTTTAAGTTTTTTCTTTTGGTTGCCATGGCAACCAGAGTTCTGCATGGAATTAAATTCTTTGAACAATTTTCAAAGGTGACCACCAAAGGAACATTCATGTTAAGTTTGGATGAAATTGGCTTAGTGGTTTATGAGGAGATGTCATTTAAAGTAAAAGTTTACGGACGACGGACGGACGAAAAGCGATCACAAAA